CTGTGATGACATACTATTAAACTTGCAGCTACTCAACAACTAAAAACAAATGGAAAGAAAGGCAAGTAGTTACCGTAAAAGTTGGGTTATGATAGTCATCCTTATGCACTGTTTGTAGTGTCCTAAATATAGGATGATGTGGAGAATCATATCGCCCATCACATAAGTCAAGGCCACCAAGGAAAGCAATAATTTTTCTTCTATTTTCCCCAGCATCGGCATCCACAATTACAGTTTTCTGATGGTGTGTATAAATTGTTCCAACTTCCTGGTAATTGAATATGTGAGAAGAAATACAGTGCAAAACTTTTATGTTAAACATAAAGACAAGGATCACATAACGAAAAGCTCAACAATCTAGATTTGGCTTAGTGGTTGTTGCCCCTCGTCGAGAGAGTTAAGGACCAAGGTTTCAATCCCCTTGGACTTCCTCATATGACTGAAAATCCGATAACAAGAGTTTCAGCAGACACAAAAATGATAAGGGATTTATATTTCAATGATCTGTAAAGAAATTGAGACACCATTAAAAAAAAAAAGAAGAAAAAGGAGAAACTCTCAAAAGTTCTAGCAAGCTTGTTCACAAACTGCAAACTTCGGAAATGATTAAATTAATACCAGCATGACTACAAACTCATATTTAAATATGTTATGTATAAATTTACACATTCATACTTCACAAAAGACAGCAACTATATGGTTCAAGTTCAATCACCATCAAAATTAAACGAAAAATATTTAAACTCATCAAACAAATACCACTGAAAATAAAATATTTTTATTATTTTATTATATTGAGAAAAGACGATGAGAAAGAGTCATTATATTTCCTCATTCAGCACCACTCTTTCAAAGTTTGATAGGACAACTTATCGATTTGAATATGTGGAAAATAGTAAACAACGCTTTAGGCATTCCTGAAACTAGCTTTATTTGAGAAATATAAAATATCTAAGCCAAATAAACTTTTCCAATTGCCAAAAACATCCTGCCAGCATGTGGTGGTAGGTATACTGCCAAATGCAGCCACCGCACAAACAACAACAATGTAGAATGTGACTCAGTTTTTATTGAGGCTGATAATGATTTCAAAAAAGACAACAATCCAGCAGTACCACCTAATGATGTCAAATAAAACCCAAACTGATGCAGAAAAATCTGTACAGATAGGGAGGCATAGCTTGGGGTGGAAAGCTAAGATGATCATACACCTAACCTTTTGCTTGATCCAGCTATGTCGTTTTCCAGCAATACGAGCACAAAGCAGTGGTAGGTATACTGCCAAATGCAGCCACCACACGAACAACAACAATGTAGAATGTGACTCAATTTTTATTAAGGCTGATAATGATTTTGAAAAAGACAACAATCTAGCAGTACCACCTAATGATGTCAAATAAAACCCAAACTGATGCAGAAAAATCTGTACAGATAGGGGAAGATGATCATACACCTAACCTTTTGCTTGATCCAGCTGTGTCGTTTTCCAGCAATACGAGGGCATAGTAGCACTTGCACTGAAGAGTGCTTGAAAAAACGACGAGTTTCCTCATCATGGGTCTGCATTATTCCATCCTGTATTGATCAATTTAAAGAGGTTACAGTAAAAACATAGCAAAGCTTTGAAATTGAAGTCCAAAAAGTGATAAATTTCCAACTTCATAAACATCTATAAGTAGAAAAACCAAAGATCTTGACTTCTATTTTTATAATAGATTGGAGTGCATGCAGAACAACATAGTCAAACTAACTGATAAATTATTCTCTCACCTCTTTCAGTTAGATACTCTCCACCATAAACCAACCAAGGAACCACTGAAACCATGCAAAGCATGGCAACAAACACATTCATACACAAACTCACAAAGAGGACTAACTTTGCATTTTCTCATTGTTATATTCAAGTTTGCACATGTCATTTTCTCCATTAACCAGCCATGCACAATGATAACCATATACTTTTATTGTCATTAGGTTTAAACGCTTCATTATATTGAACCTAATTAATTGTAAATGGACTTAACATTCAGATAATTAGAAATAAAGTCCTAAGTGTATAAAGCTGAGAGTTAACCCTGATGCTATAATATACAAAGAATAACATAATCAGATATAAGGTACTCACTGTTTTGTATCCCAAGATGCTTCTTGAAGTAGGGTCATCCCATATCAGAAGCAGCACTCTCACTCCTTCCTGGGACTTTGACCTGAGAATATCCCCCAACGTGCAATCTGAAGCAGGACCAGTATCCCGCACTAGCCTAACTTTGTGCCAAACTGACCATCCTGTAATGTAAATCAAGCGCCTAGCCTGACGAATTGCATCAAATATGTCATGCCAACACTTTCCATGCACATAGGTCATCCCCTGGTCAAGTTTCAAGTTTGGAAGGCACCCATCAGGGACATGGGCATCTTGATAAAGAGTCACTGCTCCACCCTTCCTAAGAGGAAAATATGTACCAGGAACCCCCAAATAATCAGGACCTGCCCCAACTCCATGATGATAGAAGCTCAATTTCTCCATTGGCGTGTACTGAATTGATAGTCTCAAGACAGCTCCAGGCTTACAGGGTTTTCCACTATTATTCAGAATTGGATAGATTCCCTCAATCTTTTCCCCTGAGTATATCTGCTCCACTGGAATCGGCACAATTCCTATCAACTGTGACCCCACAACATCACTGTCTTTAACAACAAAATGCACTTCGGCAGCATAATGTGCAACAGGAACATAGAAATGTTGCATCCAGACAGGGTTTTCACTATTGCTAATCACATAAGTCCTTCCCAAAACAGCACCTCCAACTGCAATTGAGACATAAGGATCACTTGTAATTTTCCGGTTCATGTGTCCTTCAATCTTGTTGGTGACATTCACAGGTAATTTCCCAAACACATCACCCAAAGTTTTATGGAACATATCCATGTTGGGAAGATTCTTTGCATCGCAAACCCAAATATCTAAATTTCCATGTAGGAGCAAAACTCTCAGTGAACCTTTCTGGAAAGGCACAATCTGCATTCCCTGGCTATGTTGTGATCCATTGAATGAACCCGAATGGGCAAAAGCAGAGTGATTAGAGGAATCCATCCGGCCCCAATAAGGCCCCTCCCAATTACTAGAAAAAGAGTTATTAGGATATGCATAAAAGTTCCCTGGACTAGCATGCCCATAAACTGGACTTTGTACCTCAGGTGTTGAAGCAGACGTGGGCAATGGAGGCCCTGAAGGTGCTGGGGGTGATGCAGGCACTGTCGGGCGACTATCAGACAAATGCACATTACTCAAAAGATCATCCAAAGGCGGATAAGCCGAGGCATGAGATTGCGTACTATCAGTATTTGATCCTAAAGAACTTGTACTTTCCTGCCTGTCATGACCAGAGAAGCTATTGTTTCTCGAGTGCAGCTGAGAATTACTTTCAGGAGGAGGGTATTGTGCAGGTTGTTGATAAGAGGAAGATACTTGTGAATTACTTTCTGGAGGAGGGTATTGTGCAGATTGTTGATAAGAGGAAGATACCTGTGAATTACTCTCAGGAGGTGGGTAATGTCCTGGTAAGGATTGCTGATAAGGGTACGGAGATGAACCATACTGAAAACTACCATGATGTTGAAGAGTAGGTGGAGGAGAAGTTTGAGGAATTGGATTTGGAGAAACTGGGTACGGATATTGATAAGGAATTGGTCCGCAAGGAGAATACGAATAGTCTAAGGGAGCTGAATGCATGGTTTGGGGCGGATATGCGGCTGGTGGATTAGGGTAATGGGAAGAACTGTAAGGGTATTGATATGGTGGTGGAGGCGCATATGGATCTTGATTTGGAGGAGGGTATCCATGGTGATACGGATATGAATACGGATTATTGTATGGGTAATTATCCATCAAACTCTAAATCAAATTATGATTCTTTATGATGGTAATCAAATCATGTACAGAAAAGGAAACTTTTTCCTTCATACATATAACAAAAAGATGCAGACGAAATCAAATTGAGTTGTAGTTCTCACTAGCAATAGAGAATTCAATTCTAATAACTGGATTTGAAACGAAAAACAAAAAGACAAAAACCCAAGAAGCCAAAATGGAACAAAGAGACCCGAAAAGGAAAAGCAATCTCTTTTCCTTTCTTCTTAAAACAAAAGAAAAGAAGAAAGAACACAAAGAGATGAAAGAAAACAGAAAATGATTCAACTTGGGTTCTAAGGGAAAGAGGCAGAGAAAACAGTTACCTATTGGGAACTTTTTGATCATTTAATAAGGTGGATGATATCTCTCCTTCTGAGAATCTTCATAGAAACAAAAATTGGAAGAAACAAAGATAGAGAGAGAAGCATTTGTGGAGAAAAATGCAGTTAAAAGAAGCTTCTTTAGGTAAAAATCTCTTTCGCGTAGACAACTTGTTTCCAGGAAGAAACCAAAGGCTGCCACATAGGCGTTTTCATGTTTCGGCTGTCTTTCGGATTCGGTTTCACCAACCCGCTGGGGGAAAACCAAAGACAAGGCAGTTTTGTTTCCCTGCTAACCCTTAGCCACGTGGAGGACATTTCTTACGTTTAACCACGACGGGTACATATAATTCAATAGTATTAAACTATAAAATTAAAGCAGATTATGTCATGAGAGAAAGATCTCTAATCTTTGAAATTTAGAATAGAATTGGACACGTAGCTGATCTACAGATTTTATTTTCAATTGGTTTTGACGGAGTCAAGCGAATGGCGAAGAATTGAGTTGAGGCATCGAAGAAAACCAGGACAAGCAGTTTTTTTATTTGGGTTCTGAGTATTTGACAGGACTGACTTTTCATCCCAGCACTGAAATAATTAAGGAAGCCACCGCCAAACTTAAAAGCGTTTCCCGGTCAAACAAGGAAATATTGTATTTATCAAGGTACACGCTAATCAAAGCAAATTTATTTTAATTATTTTTGGGCATTTTTTCAACAAAAACTCCTGGGACTTATTAGAAAGCAAACCTAGCAATCCCAACTCTGTTACCAAGTTACTGCTACGGGGCTCCTGACATGGTATTTATCAAGGTACGACCACTTTATGTAGCCGAAGGAGGTCTTTCGGGGTACTGTTCCGTTCCTTTGTGTGAAAGTAATCTTGTAGCTAAGCTTCTGGCCTGGATTTTCAAACTTCAAAATCTCTGGCTCAACCGTTATTGATACTCCATCAGGTTCAGTCCCACGTACTTCATAAGTAACATTAGGGATCCCGACATGTGTGACAGTCCTTGTGAAGGTAACACTATTGTTGTCGATGGAACGTTTGAAATTTACCGCAAAAGAAGGGTAATTTAGGTCTCCGGGTTGCATAGTTTGATTTTGGGGACAAGTGAAATCCTTCCCTGCAAACTTTGCTATATCGGAAGCTGAATAGTTCAGGCTGCACAAATAGTTCAAGTAATCTTCTGGGGTGATGTCATAGATTAATCCTGGATCAGAAGCCTTTTCAGGGTCAACATGACCTGAACCGAAGGCAAAAGGAGTAGCCGCGGTATAGTTACTAGAAGCAACATCTGCGATTTCCCCGCACTTGTCGTCCTCAACATAAGCCGTTGTCATAAGAGCTGATTTGATTGCAGCAGGGGACCAGTCATTGTGCACTGATTTGAGGAGTGCTGCTATGCCACTAACATGAGGGCAAGACATCGAAGTGCCGGAAGCTATATTGAACAGAACTCTCCTCTCGTCACTCTTAAACGAGGACGGGCCAATCAAGCCTGGCCATGCTGCCAATATATTCACCCCTGGCGCAGTTACATCAGGTTTAATCAAGTCTCGTCCAACCGCATTTGGTCCTCTTGATGAAAATGCTGCCATCATTGGTGCAGGCTTGCCATACTCTGTTCCTTTGAAAGTAATTGAAGCAGTTGGGTTTTTAGTTGATTTAAGGTACTCTTTGATGGCTTTGCTTTTTGAAAAGCCTAATGAAGAGTCTGGTAAAGGTTGTGCAACCAACGCAAGTTCCTCACCTTGCTTTTCGTCGTTTAACAGTAGCATTCCAGCTCCTCCGGCCAATTTTACTTGCTCTCCCTGTTCAAATCGACTAAAGATGAGTGTTGAGTCACAAACAACGATTTTGCCTTTCACACGTTCACGATTTAGTGAGCCCTCAGCGCAAAAAATTGTATTTTTATCACCACCAGCTGTTTCTCCATATACAAGTGGTAATTGCTTTGTTTCATTGCCAACGTATAGAGATGAACCCTCAAAAGTTTGCCCATCTCCAAGATCGACGGTCGTTGCAAATTTCCGATCAAGATAGCTTGCAGCCACAGTCATAATCCATGGCGCGGTATTGGTAACACTTGAACTAGATGGGCCTGAATTGCCACCAGCGCAAGAAACAAAAATCCCTTTTTTGATTGCTTGAAATGTTGATATTGCAATTTCATCTAGATTATAAGGCCTTGAAATAAAACTTCCTAAAGAAAGTGACAACACGTCAACACCATCAGCGATGGCTTGGTCAATGCCTGCTATAATATCAGAGCCAGCAGCGGCACCATTATTCCAGCACACTTTATAGACTGCAAGCCTAGACATGTATCCCATTCCACCCGCCGTGCCATTGGCCAAGCCAAACATGCTTGCATTGTCAACGAGATTACCAGCCGCAGTTGATGCAGTGTGTGTCCCATGGCCTAAAGAATCTCTTGCAGATTTATAATCGGTTATTTTACTGAATTTGCCAATAGTAGCCTCGTAGCCTTTGAAGAAGTATCTGGCGCCAATTATTTTTTTATTGCAATTTGATTTTGTGAAGTTTGTGCCTTCTTCACAAGCGCCTTTCCACCTTGATGGCACTGGTGGCATGTTTTCATCCTGGAAACTGACATGTTCTGGCCAGATTCCAGAATCCACCAAGCCTATTATTGTATCAGAACCCAAATTCGAAGCATTCCAGAGTCCTTTTCCATATTGCAGGCCAAGAAATTGAGCGGAACGTGTAGTTTGTAGAGTGAACATTTCATCAGGAGTGGCAGAGAGGAAACCATCGATTTTTTTCAGTGATTCTAGTTCCTTAGTGGAGAGCTTTGCAGCAAAACCAGAAATTGCAGATTCATAGACATGAATTAGCTGGGGAGATGTCGATTCAGAATCATTTTCTTCTTCTTCTTCTTCTTCAGCTGAGATATCAGTGATGGAGTCGATCACTGCTTCGTACCATTCTTTGGAGTTGCCTAGAGAATGATGTGAGGCTGCTATCTTGGTCTTGTCCATGTGAACTATATAAGTCTGCCTGTTCATCGAGGCCATTGAAGTCGTCGCTACAAAGACTAACAGCAGCAAGGCTGTTTTACATATCATGGCTGCTGTAATTAAAGAGAACGAATCAAACATATAGTTATCTGATTGATAAATGTTACCAGTAGAAATGAAATGTTAATTCGGAAGAGAGCTACAATAGACTAAATTTAAATCCTAAGATGTTGTTTGAAAAGTGTGAGCAGGGTATTCATACAATGGATGCTAAAGTCATGAATACGAAAGGATTATGGATTCAATTCTACTGATTAAATAATGCCAAGAAATATAAAGTACAAAGGGCTGTTGTGTCAGTTGCGCGTTCATTGAAAGAGTAAAGACAAATGAAACTCACCTGTCTCCATAGCACATACAGGACGAGGAATGACCAACCAGGACAGGAGCTTAATATATATAAATAAATGCTCGACAACTGAACTTAACAATATTGCGATGAGCTACTCAAATAACTTCCTTCAGTTTATTTGAACAAATTTTACATGTATTTATACAGAGGTTACACTACACAGTGAGTTGATAAGTATTATCCGCGCATAAATTTGGAACAATGTTTCAAACGTTAAATTTGGTTCAAATATCAATAGATAAGCAGCACACTTATCCCTTTATTTGATTGAAAAATTAAGTGTATCCCTTACTTTATCCCTTTGTTTGATTACAAAAGTGCAGGCTTCAAGTGGATAAATGGATGGGCGAGAGAGCAATTTAAAGCTGCAAAATCCTTCTCCATTGGCATCGGAAGGGGAAGAGATGAACGGTGGGACCAATCCATGGCTAATGTGAACATGAATGGCGGCTAATCATTAAGATAAGGTCACAACTATGCACTTAAGTCCAAACCAGATTAATGCTGATAGCTTTTTCAAAGTTCTAAAATGGATGTCTTCAACTCAAAGTTCTGTTTCACAGGACTTAATCATTGCATTTAAAATCTTTACCATCAAGTACCTATACTATTTTTAAATATATATATATATATATATTTATAAATCTTATAAATGACACTTGCCAAACTTTACAAGGTTTCTTATTTTGTAGACTTAATATGAAATTTTCACCAAAAAAAGAAAAGAATTAGTGAAGTCACTAGGAAATTCTTAAAAACGTTATTTATAGCTCTTCAATTTCCATTTTCCTTCAATAATAATGATTGGTCCCATGCAATACATGAGATTAACATGGCGTGTCACATGCAAAGAAACTTTCTCTTAATTATTTTTGGGCAAATTCCAAATGTTTTAATTTTTTTTTTCGACAAGAACTCTTGGATCTTGAATAATTAGAAAGCATCTACACTTCAACTTAGGGACTTTTGCCATCTTTCAAACCTGCACTAGGTCCAAGTTACTGCTATGGGGCTCCTGACATGGTATTTCTGTAGGTACACCCAATCTATGAAGCCGAAGGAGGGCTCTCGGGGCGTTGTTCCTTTCCTTTGTGTGAAAGTGATCTTGTAGCTAAGCTTCTGGCCTGGCTTTCCAAACTTCAAAGTCTCTGGCTCAATCATCATTGATACTCCATTAGGTTCATTCCGTTGTACTACGTAAGTAACATTAGGGATCCCGACGTGTGTGACAGTTCTTGTGAAGGTAACAGTATTACTTTTGCTGTTAGGTTTGAAATTTACTGCAAAAGAAGGGTAATTTAGGTCCCCGGGTTGCATAGTTGGATTTTTCGGACAAGTGAAACCCTCTCCTGCGAACAATGCTATCTGGGAAGCTGAATACTTCAAGCTGCACAAATAGTTCAAGTAATCATCCGGGGTGATGTCATAGATCAATCCTGGATCAGAAGCCTTTTCAGGGTCAACGTGACCTGAACCGAATGCGAAAGGTGTAGCCACGGTAGAGTTACTTGAAGCAACATCTAAGATTCCCCCGTGCGTGTTGTCCAGAACGTAAGCTGTTGTCATAAGAGCTGATTTGATTGCTGCTGGGGACCAGTCTTCGTGCACTGATTTGATGAGTGCTGCTATGCCACTGACATGAGGGCAAGACATCGAAGTTCCTGAAACTACATTGAACAGAACACTCCTTTTGTCACTCTTCAGCTGAGTTGGGCTAGTCAAGGGTGGCCATGCTGCCAATATGTTCATCCCTGGAGCAGTTACATCAGGTTTGATCAAGTCCGGTCCAACCTCATTTGGTCCTCTTGATGAGAACGCTGCCATCATTGGTGCAGGGTTACCGTACACTGTTCCTTTGAAAGTAATTGAAGCAGTTGGCTTTGTAGTTGAGTTCAGGTACTTTTTGATGGCTTTGCCAGCTAAGGCACCCAATGCAGTGGCTGGTAGAATGTGTGCATCTGCAAAAAGTTCCTCACCTTCATTTTCGGTATTGACCAGTAGCATTCCAGCTCCCCCGGCCAATTTTACTTGCTCTCCCTTTTCAGCTCGACTAGTGATTCCTCGTTGGCAAACAACGATTTTGCCTTTCACAAGTTTACGCTTGAGTGAGCCATCAATGCAAAACACAGCTGTTGCATCACCAGCTGTTTTTCCATACACAAGTGCTAACTGCTTTGTTGCCTTGCCAACATATAGAGATGAACCCTCAAAAGTTTGCCCATCTCCAAGTTTGACGGTCGTTGAAAATTTCCGATCAAGATAGCTTGCAGCCACAGTCATAATCCACGGCGCGGTATTGGAAACAGTTGAGCTAGATGGGCCCGAATTGCCACCAGAGCAAGAGACAAAAATCCCCTTTTTGATTGCTTGAAATGCTCCTATTGCAATGTTATCGCTATCATAAGGCTTTGCAGAACCTCCTAAAGAGAGTGACAACACGTCAACACCATCAAGGATGGCTTGGTCTATGGCTGCTAGTATATCGGAGCCAGCACAACCTTCAGACCAACACACTTTATATGCTGCAATTCTAGACGTGTATCTCGTTCCACCGGCCGAGCCATTGGCCATGCCAAAAATGCCTGCATTTTCAACGAGGTTACCAGCCGCAGTTGATGCAGTGTGTGTTCCATGGCCTTCTGCATCTCTTGCAGATCGATAATCTTTTGTTTCATTGATCATGCCAGCAGCAGCCTCGTAGCCTTGGAAGAAGGCTCTGGCACCAATGAGTTTTTTATTGCAATTTGATTGAGTGAACTTTGTGCCTTCCTCACAAGCGCCTTTCCATCTTGATGGCACACGTGGCAGGCCTTCATCCTGGAAACTGACATGTTCTGGCCAGATTCCAGAATCCACCACGCCTATTATCACATCAGGCTCCAAATTTGAAGCATTCCAGAGTCCTTTTCCCAATTCTAGGCCAAGAAATTGAGGGGATCGTGTTGTGTGTAGAGTGAACATTTCATCAGGAGTGGCAGAGAGGAAACCATCGATCTTTTTCAGTGATTCTAGTTCCTTTGTGGAGAGCTTTGCAGCAAAACCAGATATTGCAGATTTATAGGCATGAATTAGCTGGGGAGATGTTGATTCAGAATCATTTTCTTCTTCGTCAGCTGAGAGACCAGCGATAGAGTCTATCACTATGTCGTACCATTCTTTGGAGTTGCCTAGAGAATGATGTGAGGCTGCTATCTTGGTCTTGTCCATGTGAACTATATAAGTCTGCCTGTTCATCGAGGCAATTGAAGTTGTCGCTAAGAAGGCTAACAGCAGAAAGGCTGTGTTACATATCATGGTTGCTGCAATTAAAGAGAACAAAACGACAAAAAAATGATATAAGTGTCTGATTTATAAATGTTACAAGTAGATTACATTTTACTCTTTTCTCTAAGAATGACAATGAAATGTTAATTCGGAAGAGAGCTACAACAAACTAATTTTAAATCAGAAGATGTTGACAATGACCTATACATGTGCAGTGGAATGTTAAAAACTTCAGCAGAATTACTCACAATAGACACCATCAGTCAAGAATGAATCAACCTAATAGGCAATTTAATCCATGATTATAGATTACAATCGGTATTTTGGACCAGAAAGAAATGTTTTTTTTTTTCTAAAGATTGATTGATTTAAAAAGTGAAAGAAGAAAGAGATGGAAAGTGTGAGCAGGGCATTCAGTTCTACTGATTGAATGATATAATACATAGTATAAAGGACAGTTGTATCAGCTATGCATTCATTGAAAGAGGAAAGACAAATTAATGAGGATCACCTGTCTCCATAGCATAGCCCGAGAGAATGAGAAGGAATATACAGGATGAGGAATGACCAACCAGGACAAGAACTTATATAGGCAAAGACTGGAGGACACCTAGCTAAAGACTTCACTTCTTAAGCTCAATGTTTATTATTATACAACAAAAGTGTTCCCTTAATTTTTTCCCTTTGTCTGATTAGAAAGGTGCACGCTTCAAGTGGATAAATGGATGGGCGAGAGAGCACATTAAAGCTGCACAATCCTCCTCCATTAGCAACAGATGGGAAAGAAATCGAGAGTGGGACCAATCAATCGCTAATGTGAACTCGAAAGGCGGCTATTGAGTAAGGTTTTGTCACAACTTTGGGTTTTAAGTCCAAACAACAGTAATGCTAATAGTTTTTCCAAAGTTCTAAAATGGATTCGGATTACTTAACTAGATACGTTTCGCGTACCAAGTTCAATTTATATTCGCACATTAGTCTCAATAAATAGTCATCAGAGTAACATGAAATTTGGGGTAACAAGTGATTTCAATCAAGATGCTTATTTCGAGTAATAATCCAATAGCTGATCAAGTTAGTGTAGTGTACTCTTCTCTTAGGAATCATGATAGCAATGAACTGGATATTGAAATCTTTATATACCCATGATTAAATGGCGAGTAGCTTTGCCATGTTAACGGAGTCAATAATTGGGTTAGGACGATTGCCACTTTCTATGGTGCTGAATTCTTTAATTATTACCATTATGAAAATCAAGTTAATGGAGCATTAACATCAAAAACTTGTACATGGAACATTTCTTTGATCCCGGTGTCCCAATCTCTTTGGTATTGGAGAATCTTGACCTTAACTGTTTTAAAATATTTCTGGCTTTTTTCTATATTTATGGAACATAGTTTATCACTACGCAAAGATGCCAAAGAGATAAGAAAGGTCCCTACAAGGAAAAAACACAAGACAGGGTGGGCAGGCTAGAATTCTATATTTGCTGGAAGTGATACCTTGTTTCCATGTTTCTTCTATTATATTTCAGATTTCATATTTTTGACAGACTCGAGTGTACTAGTTTATTTTTACAGCTTAGTGAAAGTGTGAGCAATGTGCTGTTTAAGGATTCTTTTCAAACCATTCAAGGCCAGCTAGACCTGAGGGAACACATGAAATAGTTTTTGGGATTTGGGATCCTAGAATAATGTTAGAAGCAGATTTCAATGTAGTAGGTATAGCAGAATATCTAGAAAGGGGTGGTGCCTGACATTCTTTACCCCAAAAGGGCTAGCACATGATGTTTACTTGGTTAGTGCTTTAGTGGGGTAGGGGGTGGGGAGATAATTAAGAGTGGCTTTGGCAGAAGAAGAATAAAGGGTCTTTTAAGCCACGAGTGTTGGTCTGTATGCTGAAATTCCAATAAGATATATGGTAACTTAACTCCAAGGGAAGTTCAGCAGGTTGAACCAGGGAAAGAAAAAAGAACTCCAAGCCCTTGCAGGATCACTAGTAAGATTTTCATTTCCTCTTTTTGACATAATCAGTGTTCATCATTCCAAGTTTTCCCATGAGTCCATTGGAAGTTACATGCTGTTTCGATGCCTCATGAAAGAGCAAACGGAGTGAAGTGGAAGTGGCCGAGGAGTAAAGAAAATATGAATTCGACAAAACTTCATCAGAATAATGATGCATATGCATGCCCTTGTTTTTTACTTTTGGTTTCAATCCAGGCAATTTATCCGGCCTCGCTTTTAAGACACGTTAAAATGACCCAAGTCTTTCTTTTAGGGTTTTTTTTTTAATTATAAAAGATTAAGTGCCTATTTAATCTGTTTTTTTTAATTTATCTACTCGATTAAATAGAATTTTGAAATTTTCTTTTAAAAAATAATTTCTTTATAAAAAATAAAATCTACAAAAAAAATTGCAAAAAAAATTCCAAAGAGGACAATTCCAACATTATCCTCTCAAAAAATTCCTCCATCCTTCAATGGATTAAAAATAAAAATCGTTAATTTATGAGTTATTTATGAATTATGTGTTGCTTATAAATTATTTACGAAATTTTTTTATAATTTATTATTAATTACAAACTTTATATTATATAAAAATACTTTTTATATCTTCAAAAATTTATCTTAAATGGATAAAAAATAAAATTAACTTTTATTTATTGTGAAAAAAAGAATTTATGATTAATAGAAAGTTATTTTGTTAAATACCTTTTATGGTAATATAACTATAATTAAAACTTATATAAGTTGTTTTATCAACCAACTTATTTCCGAAAATAAATTTATCAAATAATTTTAATTTAATTTTAAAAATTATTATATTTCATAATAACTTTTAAAGTAAAAAAATCAGATCAAACACACTTACTTTGAGAACTAAAGAGGTTTTAAGCATGATGACCAAGAGTGGAGAGACAATAATAATTTTAATACCACATTTTACATAAAATATTAATATGATTTGAATTAAAATGTTTAAAATTCATATAATTTAAATTTAAAAAATTATTAAATCAATAATATTTGAATTCGGATCATTACAATAACCTATCAAACTAAATCAAATAGATTGATTTTAAAAAAGCTGATAGCATTACCCACATGCAACAGAGAAGTTTGAGGCCACATAAAATGGAAAAGTTAGCAATATATCCATCCTTCTTCGTCAAAAGATGAGTTCAACCTTTTCTTTTTTCTTTTATCTTTCTCTTTTGCTAGAAAAGTGTTTAATTCTTTTGGTGGTGCAAAAAAGAAAACGAAAACTTTAATAAAGCAAAACCCAAAAAAAAACCATTTAACAAGGTTGAATTGGACGGGCCAGAAGGCTTGCCCAAGCTTGTCAATATAGGTTGGGCCCAAGTTTGTGATCTAAACCTTATTATATTTTTGTTATAAATTTAAGAAAAATACAGTATAGAATGAAATAATATTTTATATTATACCATATAGTTTTGCTTAAGAAACGATCTTGGGCTTCAATGTCTAAACAGGATATAATTAATTCTATTTTATATTTAGTTTTGTTCCTTAGATAAATATAAACGGTTGATAGGTTTAAGGGTTCCAAATATAGTACATAGAGTGTATGTTCTTGGAAATAGAAGGAAGCAATAGTACAACTAATAAGACTGATCAAAGCACTGAGTCAAGTAGTTTTCATGGTTGTGGAGCAGTCCACACACTTTTATTCCTTCAACAGGTAGAACACTCATGATAAAAAAAGGGAAAAGAAGTAGAAGCAGTGGTACACATGATATAATTCTACCATCTCGACTCGATTCAAAGCATCTTGAACCACCTTGCTGCTATTGGACTTCTAACTCTGTAGTTTCCAGAAACCCACACCAGGGATCCAAAAGATGAGGCAGCATCTGGTTTTGTCCTTTTCGATCCTATAAAAGTCACCTTGTAACTCAATTTCTTGCCCAACATGTTAAATGTTAAAACCTTAGGCGTCACAACCACCGAGACTCCTTCAGGTTCTTCCACAAGCACATCGTAGGTACTTTTAGGAGTTCCAACATTTGTGACAGTCCTGTGGTAGGTAAGAGTAATATTTTCTGCAGCCCTGCTCTTGAAGTTGACTGCAAATGAAGGATAATTAAGGTCTCCAGGCTGCATAATTGCATCTTTAGGACAAGTAAAATTATACACGAAGCGAGAAATTTGAGAATCGGTGTACTTGAGGCTGCATAAGTAATATATGTAATCCTTTGGACTGACATCATAGATTAACCCGGGATCAGAAGCTCTCTCGGGATCAACATGACCTGAGCCAAGTCCAAAAGGTGTAGCAGCGCTACCGAAAGCTACATCCAGAATTGGACTCCCTTTGTTGTCTGTAACATACGCTGTTGTCATTAGAGCTGATTTGATTGCTGCTGGTGACCAATCTTTGTGCTTGGATTTGAGCAGTCGCAGCTATGCCACTAACATGAGGACAAGACATTGAAGTACCCGAAATTATTTAAACAAAACTCTTCTGTTGTCGCTTTTGAGCTCACTTGGGCTAGTTTAGCTGGCCATGCTGCCAATATGTTTACGCCCTGGTGCCGTCACATCTGGCTTAATGACATCCAGTCCAACTAGATTTGGCCCTCTTGATGAAAGCGCTAATGTGGTGCACGATTACCATAAGTTGTCCTTGAAAACAATCGAAGCTGTTGGTGATTTAGTGAGTTCATATACTTTTTGATAGCTTTACCGGCTGAAGCTCCTAATGAAACTGGCTGGCAAAACGTGAGAGTCAGCTAAAGTTCTTCACCTCATTCAGTGTTGATTAGTAACATTCCAGCTCCTCCGCCATTTTCACTACCTTCCTTCTCTGTATGGGCATTCTCTCCTTGCTGACAAACAACCATATTTCCTTGGACAGATCTCGATTAATGAGAGCCAGCAAGCAATACTCTGCTCCTTGGCCCCAGCAGTTTTCCCTAACACAGGGCAATTCTTTTTTTCCCTTGCCAACATATAAAGATGACCCTCAAACGTTTGTCCTTTTCCAAGTTGACAATGTTGGAAGCTTCGATCAACGGAGCTTGCACCAACCGTCATTATCCATGGAGCGCATTCTTAACAGTGAATTTAAACGGGCCTCATTGCCTGCACTAAAAGAAACAATATCCCATTTGCAATGCCAATGATGCTAGAGCCATATAATCTCGTATAAGGCTGAGCTGCTGCACCAAGAGAGACTGAAAACACGTCAACCCCATCCAAAATGGCTTGCTCTACAGCGCTAGAACATCAGGGATATGCAAGTTGCCAACATGCTTTATAAACTGCAATTCTGGAGTATACCCTCAAACCTGTTGCTTGAGTGCCATTGGCTAAGCCAAAAAGGCTTGCATTTTCAACAATACTACCAGCTGCTGTTGATGCAGTGTGCGTTCCATGACCATTTGAATCTCTTGCAGATTTGAAATCTTCTGTTTCATTGATTTTTCCAACGGCGGCCTCGTAGCCTTTGCAGAAGAATTTAGCGCCAATGAGTTTCCGGTTGCAATTTGATGAGGAGAACTTTGTGCCTTTCATGCAAGCACCTTTCCATCTCGAAGGTATAGCAGACAAACCATGGTCTTGGAAGCTGGGGTGCTCTGGCCAGATTCCAGAATCCACCACACCAATTATCACATCGGACTCTAGGTTTGAAGCATGCCAGAGTCCTTCGCCCTTGTCTAGGCCGAGAAATTGAGGGGTATGCGTCGTGTGGAGACTAATTAGCTCTTCATCAAGATTCGCATATTGAAAGCCGTCAATTTTACTTAGCAATTCTAATTGCTTGGATGAGAGCCTTGTTGCGATACCAAACATTACAGTCTCGTAGGCATAAAGAAGTTGGGGAGGTGTTGCTTCTGATCCATCTTCTTCTTGAGATGAAATATCAGCTATAGAATTGAGCATTGCTTCGTACCATGGTTTGGAATTATCAAGAGATTGATAAGCAGTTTTGACCTTGGTCCTGTCCAAGTGGACTATATATGTTCGTTTCTTTGCTTGAGCTGTTGAACTTATGGCCACAAATGCTAGTAACAGCAAGGTGGCGATGAAGATCCTGGTGACTGTAAGAAAGGAAGAATATAGGGAAATTTAACATTAAATAATTGATTTTGAACCAACATATTATTGAATTAAAGGTTAAATCTAGGAGTTAAACTTGATTGTGTGAGTACTATTGTTGATATCGAGTTTGTTAACAGAATACATAATTGTCCATCCAGTATTCTGTAAACAGTCATAATCTACTGTTTAGGCTCTTATGACAATGGCTTGTGGTATATACTCTTAACTGCAAGCATATGAATAATGCTGAATTACTGCATTTGAAAACAGACTCAATCTAAATGTTGTAGGCTACCCTGGAACTATGCAAAAAATGCATCATGGATAGAACCAGTAATCCATAGTGTAATTTTGCTATGTAATATAATGAGACTTTATGATCCTTCAGAGCTGCTAAATAAAATACCATCCTGGTTAGCTGTGCAAACGCTGCAGTAACACCAGATTCTAACATATATTAATCAAGCAAGGGGATAGCCTCGTCATAAGGATGAAAGCACAACATAGTCGGCGATGTTGTAATCTGCAATTTCATAAACTTAGCTATAAAATCAGGGTTACCGGCTCCACGACTAGGCCTGACAGCTTCTTCGCCGCAGCCCAGAGTATGCCTGGCTCGAGCCTTGGGTTTGAAATTGAATAGAATATAAAGAGCAAGCAACCCTATGACGTTGCCATACAGTAAACCAGTGGCGATGCATGGAAGGAATTACTAGAGAAAGACAAGTTCATTACCTGTTTCCATGTCTCAAACGCGAGAGATGAGAGAGGAGACGAACTAATAGGAATGATGTGAGTTATTCACTTGAAGAGGAGACTATATATTGGCAAAAGTTCATGATACTATACAGGGTAATTTCAGCCCATTTTTTCTTGTGCTGTTAGCTTTGACGTTTAACCTTTGACTTGCTCAAAAATATTAAGTAAATCAATGAGTGATAGCTACATTTGTCCTTACATGTAAACTTTAATATGTATGTTCTTTTAGGTTTGTCTGTTTATATTAGGATTAGTTAAAATGTTATTTATCAGTTTATACCCACTCAATGTTGACATGAAGTCAATGCATAAGGTAAAAAATATCACAAGATTATGTCGTCATTATCTAATATGATATGTAAAATGTACAAATTAGATGACATAAAGTAATAAAATAATATTTTGATTAAATTAATTATTAATTATAAAAACTTATATGACTCAAAATAAAAATATTAAAGAGATATTTGACTTAAAATAAAAATATAAGAATTCAATTAAAAGTAATAAAATATTAAAAATTTATTTAATTTTTTAAATAATTTAAAAATTTTTATAAATATTATACAAAAAAAAATTATGTTGTTTAAAAAGATTGGCTTAATTTAAGATATAGCCATTTTCATTTTCGTGTTCCAGGCAGGCAATCAAGATTCAAGAGAAACATTAAATCATTACTTTCCCCCTTTGAGTTTGAAAACTCACCATGCCACTCAGTGAAAAATGTTTTTCACATATGTGACGATCATATGATTGATCTTATTATCAATTCATATACAAAATCGATAAATTTAATGTCAAATGTATAATTATGTATTTACATATATATTAACTTTAGCATTAAATCATCATATATTTTTGTGATAATTAGTTTGGTCAATAAAGGGTATAATTTATAAAAATTTTATTTATTTTATTGTTTTTATATTGTACTAGTTTTATATATTTAAAAAAAATATAGCATTGAAATAACAGTTTGATTAATGGGTGCTATAAGTATGGACAAATGATCATTAATATGATATTTTAGGAAAAGAAATGATTAATCATTCGAAGATCCTTCTTAAATTCACAGCCAATGCCCAATGATCTGTTGAGAAACAGAGGTACGATTCAGGTTAAAGAAAAAAATAAAGAATAAAGCATGACTCTCATTCGAAAGCATTTGACAGGTTCTATGTTGGAGTCCCTTTCACATTGCTTTTAACAATTAATGGAGTCCAGAACACAAAGTTACAAAAGCTACAATTATTAGTCAAATGAGCTTTAGTACTCCAATTTAAAAATTTCCAGGAGGTTATGGTCAGGAAAATTAGAGAAGTTTAAATTAGCTTTAAATAATACTGTGGCAATTTAATGCTGAAAACCAACTCAATTCATATAGCTAAACAATTGGCATGACTATGTGAAGTCCTTTTTGTCTATAATCTTGAAAGAAACTTACTTTAATAAGCTCAATACCTAATTTGTTTTGTCTTTGAAGTGGCTTGTGGGTTAACCAATTAGTCTTTTGAGAGGTGTTAATGAAATCAATGAATTAAATTAAATTTAATCCCAAACATAATGAACTTGAATTAAAAGCCACTATCTACGAATCCAGAGTCTATAACTAAATGTTTATAAAATTATGTATTATCCATTGTGATAGCTTCTTAGTTAATAATAATATTTTCAGGGTGATGAGATTGTGTGATGCCTGAGAATCTACACAAGAAAAAATCACTTCAATTCATATAGTTAAACAATTGGTATTGCTATTAACTTCAAACATCTAAAGTCTTTTTCCTCTATAATCTTTAAGGGAAACTTGATTGAAGAACCTGGAAAAAACCTCAATACGTAATATGTCTTGCCTTCGGAGTTGCTAGTGGGAGTTGGACAAGTCATAGTCGAATGAAAGGTCTCCTTGCTTGTTTTTAACGTGTAGGGGATCCACCTTGAAGTTTTTCTCCGACAAAAATGGGCACGTTATTGGAAGTAGAGGGGCCACCGACTGGCTTTAGCATACGCTAAGATAAGCAAGAGAGTTGTCAAGTTCGGAGTGGATAGGAACGGACATGGTTTTATCAAATGGTGGTAAGCAAGGAGCTACTGTTTTTAAAAATTAAATAAATTTTTTAATTAATAATTAATTTTATATCACATAATAATAATATAATATATTAATATGATATAATAATATGTTATATATTTTTTATCCTCTTTCTCTCTTCACAGCTCAATTCCGAAACCCTTCTTCCTTAAGCTCAAGTAGTTTTCTTTTTTGCAAAGTAGAACGCCATGACGACGAAAACTTGGAACTCCAGGACAGGGGTAAGGTATTAACCAGATGCGCCATTAATTTTACAAAATAGCAGGCATAGGTGGTTTTCATTAACCTACACCAGAATACAAGTCATACATTAGATGATTAGATGTGCACACCGATTCTAAACCCTATCAACTCAAAAACATGATTACTTTGACGAATTAATGAAAAGAAATCCAACAGCCCATTGATGATCGACATCTTCAATACTCAAAATCCAGTGAACCACTTTTGATGCTACATTGATTAATCTTCCCTATACCGATCCCTCAGTATAGTTTATTAAAGTGATTGTGATTTTGATCTTGCTTTCGGTCATATCTAGCCATGGCGTTTGCCAGCGATTCAAGTTAGAGTCACCCTAAAGCTCCCCAAGCAATTAATACTAAAACAAAAAAAAAAAAAGGAAAATAGTTGAAACCAAATATGTATTAATCTGTAACAAAAAAAAAAAAAGAAACATGACAATTTTTTAGAATTGGGGCGGGGAATGGAGGCAATGCATACATAATTCTACCATCTTAACCTGATTCAAAGCAGCTACATCCAACTTGCTGCTATTGGACTTCTAACTCTGTATTTTCCAGAAACCCACAGCAGGGATCCGAAAGATGAGGCTGCTACTCGTTTTGTTCTTTTCAATCCTATAAAAGTCACCTTGTAACTCAATTTCTCACCCAGCATTTTAAATGTTAAAATCTTGGGCTTCACAATCACCGATACTCCTTCAGGTTCTTCCACAAGCACTTTGTAAGTACTTTTAGGAGTGCCAACATTTGTGACAGTCCGTTTGTAGGTAACATTTTCGGCAGCTCTGCTCTTGAGTTAACTGCAAATGAAGGATAAATCAGGTCGCCAGGCAGCATAATTGCATGTTTAGGACAAGTAAAATTATCCACGAAGAGAGATATTTGGGAAGCGGTATACTTGAGGCTGCATAAGTAATATATGTAATCCATTGGACTGATGTCATAGATTAACCCTGGATCAGAAGCTCTCTCGGGGTCAACATGACCTGAGCCAAATGCAAAAGGTGTAGCAGAGCTACCGAAAGCTATATCCAGAATTGGACTCCCCTTGTTGTCTGTGACATGTGCTGTTGTCATTAGAGCTGATTTGATTGCTGCTGGTGACCAATCTTTGTGCCTGGATTTGAGCAGTGCAGCTATGCCACTGACATGAGGACAAGACATTGAAGTACCGGTAATTATATTAAACAAAACTCTTCTCTTGTCGCTTTTGAGCTCATTTGGGCTAGTTATAGCTGGCCATGCTGCCAGTATGTTTACTCCTGGTGCTGTCACATCTGGCTTGATCACATCTAGTCCAACTAAATTTGGCCCTCTTGATGAAATCGCAGCTACTATGGGTGCACGATTACCATAAGTTGTCCCTTTGAAAACAATCGAAGCTGTTGGTGATTTAGTCGAGTTCATATACTTTTTGAGAGCATTACTGGCTGAAGCTCCTAATGAAGTGGCTGGCAAAACGTGAGAGTCAGCTAGAAGTTCTTCACCTTCACGTTCAGTGTTGATTAGTAACATGCCAGCTCCTCCTGCCATTTTCACCACCTCTCCCTTCCCTGCCCGGGTATTCTTTCCACGCTGACAGACAACCATTTTTCCTTGGACAAGCTTTCGATTGAGAGAGCCAGCAAAGCAATACTCTGCTCCTTGGCCTCCAGCAGTTTTCCCGTACACTAGGGGCAATTTCTCTGTTCCCTTGCCAACATATAAAGATGACCCTTCAAACGTTTGTCCGTTTCCAAGCTTGACAATTGTTGGAAAGCTTCGATCAACGGAGCTTGCACCAACCGTCATTATCCATGGAGCAGCATTCTTAACAGTGAATTTAAACGGGCCCTCATTGCCTGCACTACAAGAAACAAATACCCCATTTGCAATCGCCCCAAATGATGCTAGAGCCATATAATCTCCGTAGTAAGGCTGAGCTGCTGCACCAAGAGAGACTGACAACACGTCAACGCCATCCAAAATGGCTTGCTCCATAGCCGCTAGAACATCAGGCATAATGCAAGTTCGCCAACATGCTTTATAAACTGCAATTCTGGAGGTATACCTCATACCTGCTGCTGAGCCATTGGCTAAGCCAAAAAGGCTTGCATTTTCAACAATACTACCAGCTGCTGTTGATGCAGTGTGCGTTCCATGACCATTTGAATCTCTTGCAGATTTGAAATCTTCTGTTTCATTGATTTTTCCAACAGCGGCCTCGTAGCCTTTGAAGAAGAATTTAGCGCCAATGAGTTTCCGGTTGCAATTTGATGAGGAGAACTTTGTGCCTTTCATGCAAGCACCTTTCCATCTCGAAGGTATAGCAGACAAACCATGGTCTTGGAAGCTGGGGTGCTCTGGCCAGATTCCAGTATCCACCACACCAATTATCATATCGGACTTTAGATTTGAAGCATACCAGAGTCCTTTGCCCTTTTCTAGGCCGAGAAATTGAGGGGTATGCGTCGTGTGGAGGACTAATTACCTCATCATCAAGAGTCGCATATGAAAACCGTCAATTTTACTTAATAATTCTAATTGCCTAGATGAGAGCCTTGCTGCAAAACCAAACATTACAGTCTCGTAGGCATAAAGAAGTTGGGGAGGTGTTGCTTCTGATTCATCTTCTTCTTGAGATGAAACATCAGCTATAGAATTGAGCATTGCTTCGGACCATAGTCTGGAGTTATCAAGAGATTGATAAGCAGTCTTGATCTTGGTCCTGTCCAAGTGGACTATATATGTCTGTTTGTTCGCTTGAGCTGTTGAACTTATGGCCAAAAATGCTAGAAACAGCAAGGTGGCGATAAAGATCCTGGTGACTGTAAGAAGAAAGAAAGAAAGATTAGGGGTAAATTGAACTTGAAATCATTAATTTTGAACCAATCATTAATATTGGATTAAAGGTTAAATCTTAGAGTTAAACTTGATTATGTGAGTACTACTGTTGATAGAGTTCGTCAACAGGATATATGATTATCGATCCAGTATTCACTAAACTGTCATATCTACTGCTTTTGGTTGTGGTGTAATGTCTACTGCTTTTGTTTGTGGTATAATACTCTTAATGCAAACATATGAATTATACTGAATTAATGCATTTGAAAACATACTTAATCTAAATGTTGTAGGCTACCCTGGAACTTTGCAAAAAATGCAACATGGATAGGACTGGTAATCCATAGCATAATTTTGCCACGTAATATAATGAGACTTTATGATCCTTTGGAGCTGCTAAATAAAATGGCATCCTGGCTAGCCGTGCAAACGCTGCAGTAACCAGCCGATTCTAACATAAATTAATCAGGAAAGGGCTGGCCTAGTCAAAAGGCTGAAAGCACAACATAGTTGACAATGTCCCCTAATGGAAAACGCATGGAAATGTAATCTGGCAATTTCATGAAACTTTGCTATAAAATCAGGGGTACCGGCCCGAGGACTAGGCCTGACAGCTTGTTTGCCTCGGCCCAGAGTGTCCCTGGCTCAAACCTCGAGTTGAAATTGAATAGAATACGCAGAGCGATCAATCCCACGACGGACGTCCCTACTTACAAACTGAATGAGCTAACTCTATGTCAAATGCGTTCTTACAGTGAACCACGTTAGCAAGTGGAAATACATGGAAGAAAATCAGGAGTAACTAGGGAAAGGCAAGTGCGTTACCTGTTTCCATGTCTCCAACACGAGAGATGAGAGGAGGAAGGACGATGAGTTACTGGCTTGGAGAGGAGACTTTATATAGGCACAAGTCCATGCAGCATACAGGGTAATTTCAGCCCATTTTTGCTTTTGCTGTTACATAAGTTTCAACTTTTAACTTTTAACCAACACTGCAGTAACCCATTAAGGAAGGTGGACTCTTTTGTCGAATGTACAGTTACGGTTGAGATGACCCTATGGTGTATCCTCACTTCAGAACATAACAGACCAGGATTAACTTGCTTTGCTTCGGCTCAGGGGGGTGGTTCTGCCTCCTTCGAGAGTTAATACTATGAAATTTCAGAAAAAAAGGTGCTGATAAGTTGGTTCAAGAAGGGGTTAATAGGCAGCAGGATCTCCTGCGGATATATGGAACTGGTGAGGAAAGCTCTTGCTAGTGAAGTATTGAATGTCTTGCGATCTGTGACCGGGTGGCTGATGTTGTGTTTTGAATTGATGATTTTTGTGCTACTTGACTGTCTGCTAAAGCTTTTGTGGGTTTTTAAGGATAGGAAGGGTTGGGTTCTATTTTATTCTGTTGTCATGACTTGATGTGTTTTGTATAAGCAGGATTGTGCATGTATCAGTCATGAAAGGTGTATAGTTGTCCAATTTTTGTATAGCAGGTTCTTGTGGGTAACTATGAGTAAGATTTGGGGAATATACCTCTTTTTGTGCCTAGGTATAACCCACAAATCACAGGTTCTTTGCAGATGTTTTCTTGAAGGGGATTTTTCCATCCTCCTTTGCAATGAAACTCCAATCTTTCAAAACAAAAAAAACTTCTTCAAATTAAGTAAATCAATGAGTACTAACCACATTAACTTGTCCTCGTGCGAACTCCTAGATGTCCGCCTCTTCTTCCTTTTTACTCTTGATAATAACACCTCCCTACTTTAGCTAGCATCTTTTTCATGGTGCGTGTTTCCTCTGAATAAAAGAAGTGTCTGCCAAACCAGGGCGGGACCAGGCAACCAATTATGGAAGATCATATTCCTTTCAAGTGTCATTCCTGCCGAAACCTTTATTTTGCTTTGGACTGATGCTAGGATTTTTCTTCTCTTTGGTAAACTTTCTGTAATCTGTTATATTTCTTGATAAAGGTAAGTCATATTCTAACGATATAGTATAGCCTAGGAGAATATTAGGGAGGAAAATGTTCTTTGAAAGAAACCAAAAATAGGGAAACAACAAAAGAAGAAAGAAAATGTTCTTTGAAAAGATTGGCCCCTACTAATGATGTCGCCTTGTTGATATGGCTTTCCATTCTGGGGTTTGATAATGTCATGATATATCTATATCTTAAGATAGAGAAAGAAACAAGAAGAGAACTATATAGCTGATAAGCAAAACAGAGTATTCATCTGTCAATACATAATGATGACACAGTGATCATATATATTACTAAAAGTTAGAGCTTATACAACCTCAATTTGGATAGAAACAACACAACATTATTCTATTCTACCATCAGAAAAGTTGACAGCAAGTAAGCATACTAAGCGCTTGCACTGGTAATGTTGTCAAAACCTTGCACGTGTTCATGCAGGCGTTATCCTCTAACAGAGTTGCAGGCAGGTGAGGATTCAAGAATAGGGCATTGAATCATTAATTTCCTGCTTTCACTTGGAAAACCCATCACGCCATATTAGCCGTGAAAAATATTTTTCACATAAGTGGCCATAATATTGTTGATCTTATCAGGTCATATACTCAAGTGATGAATTTAATGTCAAAATGTATATATACATATGCATATTAACTTTAGCATCGAATTATCCTACACTTTAATATATTATAATTTGGGTCAATAAAGGGCATAGATTACATAAATTTTATCATAGAAGAACCAATAATGTTAGGCGTGTAGAGAGACTTGACGAATCCCAAGCACAAGGAAAGAATTAAGGGTGTAATACAAATTCCAAGCATAAGAAAAAAATCCAAACAGTGACTTAGAATGATTTGATCTATTGCTATATTGCAATTTCTTTACAAATTCTTTGGAATATCCCAACATAACTTTGATTAGCTTTCATATTTATAATTGTATTATATAGTTACCGTTTTGTATCCATATATTTAGATATAAAAATATAGTCGGTGTACTATCATACTCATTGAAAAAAGATTAGTGATTAATTACTTTCTATATTCTGTCTTCTAAATCTTTTTATTAAGTAGAGTTGGAAGAAATACATGGACACAGTGGCTGCCAGTAACAGCCCATCTCTTCTGAACCTGAGTTTCAATCCATTTTCATTTTGGTTTTATTCTGTGGACTCAAGTGTTCAAAATATTTCCTCATTGATGCCAAGACTATTTCTCATTGTCCACAATGGATTTTTGTGATTTCAAGAGAACAGTGTGAGTGGCATGGGACAGATCAAGCACTCTAGATTCAGCCTTGGGTTCAACCTGATGCTTCCTTTCCACTGGCCTCACTATGTCAGAAAATGCAATTCCTTTTCCCCGCAGTCCTGGCAAGTCAACAATTCATTAAGATAAAGTTAAAAAATAGAGAAGTCCTCAAGGATGAGGAGTCTCCATTGTTGTGAAATGCTTCCAGATTTTTAGAAAATTACAGAAACTAAACATTGTCAGTGATAAATCTTGTTGATTTAATGAATTATTAGAGGTACTTAAGTCAATCACATATTGCTATAATTTCCCAAGGTAGGAGAAAAATAAAGGAGGTTAATGATTAAGAATAGAAGTATTCTGCCTCTACCTTATTGGTAAAGCAACTAGAAAAGATAAAGAAGGAGAAAGGATTAGGTTAATAATGAAGAATGAAATGATGGGCTGTGGACCTTTCATGGAAAATGATATCTTCTCCAGTCCACTCTCCCATTGATGAGAATGTGAATGAGCGAACCGCACGCAGCTGTTAGTCCCAGTGCTTTCAAACAATATAGCAATGTGATGTAACAGGTTGAATTTTGCATGACAAATTTGCTTACTCTGTTTTTTAACGATCGAATGCTAGAGAGAATGCAATGGACGGTTCGAGTCCCATACTATTCCTGTGGCGTTTGATGAATTATTGCTTGAATCTTCTCTGAAGAATTTTTAGGTAGTTGCCGGGACTAACTTTCAAAAAAACAAATACAGTTGCCGTGTTATGTTCATGATAGCTGCTAAGAATCTTTTCATATTTTTTCAGTTTTTAGATCATCATATTTTTTAAAATTTTAGTTATTATGTAAATTAAAATAGTGTTATGTAAATTTTGATTATTATTGATAGGAAACTCTTTTTTAAAATTCCTCGACTTTTCTAGATATTTTTCAAAAGAAACAATCAAGTTAGTTGAATTTTATTGTGAATTTATAAATTTGAATTATAAAATAAGAATCAATCCACCAAATGTTATCACAAACATTAATCATATTAGATTCCTAACATACGGAAGAATTGACATTACCTTTCTTTTCATGCCAAGCTTTTCGTTTAGGACAATCCTTTCACAAGTGTACCTTCTCACTTGGAGTTTTTCATATCAGAATATGGGTAGATGTATATGCTTTCACTTTCGCTTTCTCTTTCTTCTTATCGACTAGCTTCTTATCCTTTTCTTGTGTGACAATATGCACACTTTCACCCATATTGTATCTCCTTTCCTCTTGCCCACACGTGACCAAGAGTTCATTAATTGATCATGTTTTTTTATGTGTGTGAGAGGATATTTTAAAAAAATTGTTTTAAGATGAGAGTGAGTTTAAAATAAAATATACTAAAAAAGAATCAGAAATCTCAATCTTCACGATCTTTAGCTGAACAACTATATCTCTTATTTGCAATGTAATCTCGCACTCTTTTGATGTCAATGAGTTTTGTTGATAACAATTTAGTACTAATCCTTTTAAAAAGCATAGTCAATGTCAATACAATCCAAATTAAAGAAAAATAACTACATTTCAAAAAAAATAATAAAAAAAATTCTCCTTCCGTACTACATAGCTGTTGCCACTTAAGTAAGGAACATTAGCTTTATCATCAGATGATATCAAAGGTTGAATTGCAAATAAATAAATAATCATACTAACGATAGAAAATTGAGACACAACCATCAACAAAATGATATGCTTACCAATGCTAGATATATCATAATAACAAACATAAATCTGACATGTCATTAAAACCTACTTGTGGGCAAAGATTTTAAGACAAAATTGATTCACTTACTTTATGCAAATCATCTATATTTCTTAATACCAGTGGGTTAAGTAGGAAATAAAATTACTATTTCATCTTAATTAAACATCAAAATATGATAATCTCCCTGTGGGGTAAAATTAACATAATAATATATTCAATTAGAATTTGATGTCATAAAATGTAGATGCGATCAACATATATATTTATCAATACTTTATATGTGCATATCATAATTAAAGATGCTGTGGCCATTCCTTAATTAATTAAATGCATACTAATTACATGACATCAATACCATAAATTAAGATATTATTTTCAAAAAATAAGCATAACACAAATAATTAATTTTATTATGCTAATAATATCTTAATTAGGACCAAGTAGCCTTCTTTGTGGCTAATTAAATAGACTAGCCTATTTACACAAATTACGATCTATAATACAAAATTACAAAATTAGGTCTAATTTGTAATATGCTTCAAAAATAAGTTTACATTAATGACATAAATGTCTAAATTTTATAATCTATATTTTAAGCAGCCCAAATTAAGTTGCATGAGTCAAACTGTAAGTTTAATAAATTCACAATGAAATTCAGATAAATTGATTGCTCATTTTCCATCATCATTTGCAACCGATCATCACAAAAGAAGCCTCCAATAGAACAACATGGGGATTTAATTATTAATATTTATTATTATCTATCGAATGTTTCTCTCTCATATTTGCAGCTTTTCAGACACGTAAACTAAAGGTAAAGAGAGTTGGCAGTTAATCAATTGTTGTCCTGTTTTTACCTGCTTGATTGGGAACAAACCTTTGAAGTTTGAGTGGCCGTTGATCAAGTTACCATGGTTAAGTTGTTGTTACTGTTATTAATTTATTTTTAGCAGTGTTTATGAGTCATAAGCAGGATATGCATGTGATCAGTGTTTTCCATCGGCCTCTAAATATAGGACTGTTTCTTGGCGAAATCCTTCGGTTATTAGGAAGCACCCAAGTTCTTGAAAATCCTTATGTGTCACGATTTACATAAGATAGTAGCAAAGCGTGTAAACAGATTAAAATTTTTGCAGTATGCAAGGCTGACTTTCTTTTTATTAACAGGTTTTACACCTGCTCCCCTCATTCTTTCAAACATTATCAATTAGTCTTGGAGACTGTAGATAACAATAGGACTTCTCACAGTGTGACGAGTGCTTTTCCATACAAGTGAAGCTGATAGCATCGAGAATGTAGTGCTTGCCACGGGTTTTGCCTTCACAACAACCTTGAAACTCCGCTTCTGTAAGGGACGTGTGAAGAAGAGACACATGGGCCTAATTGTGATTTCCACTCCTTGGGGAGCCTTGATGGTAGCATTGTACACAGATGGAGGACCTACATTGGTGACTCTTCGATGAAAAACACCTATAGTTTGCGGTTGGCCCCTTTTCATGGTAAGCTGCATTGATGGGTAGTTAAGAGCATCATAGCCAAATCCAGGAAGCAACGTGGAGCAATTAAAGGATTTTGCACCAACTAAATGAGCTATAGATGATCCACTGAAGCCTTCATGACATAGAAATTGTATATAAGACATCTCATCCATGTCATAAACTAGGCCAGGGTTTAAGGCTCTGGTAGGGTTCAATTGACCAGCACCATAGGCGAATTCAGCATCATTGTTCACCCTCCGGCTCATTGGTTTTGCTTCAAAGATAATTAATTAGTATGTTAATACTGAAGTAGTGAATCAAGTTAAGAATGACTCACTGGTTCGCGATCTATCTTTACCTGTGGTCATGATTGCAGATTTGATTGCAGCCGCTGACCAAGTAGGATGAAATGATTTTACATAGGCTGCTACACCTGCAACATGTGGGCAGGCCATGGAAGTTCCAGACATGAGAGTGAACTTTGAATGCTGGGTGTCACCTTTCAGTCCAGTGAGTGACTTCAAAAGAGTGTAAGCTGCCAAGATGTCAACGCCAGGGGCTGCAATATCAGGCTGTATCATGGTACAGCAGAGACTATAGGTTTAGATATCAAGCACTTGATGGTCGAGGGAGAAGAGGGTCAATGAAGAAGGAAACATTCTCTGGTTTAAAGACAGAATTCAAAGCTTATACCTTGAGAAGATGCTGTGAGCCTGGATTTGGACCCCGAGATGAAAACGAAGCAACAAATGGAGCAGAAATTTTGATTTCATGGGACCTGTATATCACTGCTGAAGGTGATCTGGCAATCATCGTTTGATACAGAACAGAATATAAGATGTAAGGCATTTAGTGACAAAAGGGGGCAAGTAATCTTTTCCATATGAACATTCTTTAAGGACGCATTTCAGCATTTGTCATTATCAGCAAGGAATCATTTAAGAACATCAATTTTCATACCTTGTGGAATGTATATATTTATCAATAGTTTCTCCGACAGTTCCATTCACCATGGTAGCTGGTGCCATAAAAATTTGAGCAGTGTCAAGGTATTGCTCACTTGCAATTATAGTGCCTATACCTCCAATTCCTTTAACAACAGAATCAGCACCCCACTGCCCTAGTATGCAGTAAACAAGCCTTCCCTTCACCTTGCCAGGATCCAGCGTGTTATCATAACAGAACCTGTAAAAACAATTAAGCTGTCTGTTTTCCCCCCTTATAGAAGATCTCTATGCAAAATGCATCACAAAGCACTACCTTGCATCTTCCTTGCTTTGTGAGTTCACGGGAACGTCAGCCCCGCTGACAATGGGGTAAAGTTTTTCCTTTGGCTCAAATGCGTTAATCCCAATTCCCTGCTTATCAATACAGCAGGAATCTCAAAATGGCAGTATTCGGAAAAAATGAAAAATTCAGAACATGTCTGTTATTGATAATATTTTGGCCATGGATATTAAGTTTTTGAATTGTTTAAGTGTCTATAGCTAAGCTATGGTTTCAATTCTCAATTTTGGTCTCTATTTTGTAGTTTTGAATCAGAATTTTCCAAATTTGAATGCGTATCAAACTTACCGAGATACTTCTTCCATTACCCAATTTGACTGTGCTCGCAAACTGTCTGTCAATCCCACTGGCTGCCACAGTAAGAAGCCATGGGGAATAGTTGGACAGAGAACCCAAGCTCGGACCTTCATTCCCAGCAGAAGCCACAGTAATTACCCCCTTCTTCAGGGCATGAAATGCACCAACCGATATAGAATCTGTTACAAAATCCTGAGTCGCCCCACCAATAGATATTGATATAACATCCACACCATCACTAGCTGCATCGTTAAATGCAGCAAGAATGTCCAAATCGGCACATCCTGAGCTGGCCCAACACACTTTATAAATGGCTATCCTAGCTGATGGCACTGCACCGCGAGCAGTGCCTTTGGCTAGCCCATAGAGACTTGCGTTTGGAACTAGGTTACCTGCTAGTGTTGATGAGGTGTGGGTGCCATGGCCATCCACATCTATTGGCGATAAAATGTCAGCAGGGTCGGCGTTGCCATCAAGCTTGAAGTATTTAGCTCCTACAATCTTGCTTTAGAACCCAATGATGGTGGTCCAAGAGAGATGAAGAGAAGAAATTAAACCATGCAACTTTTATTCCATATTAATTTCACTATTGAGGTGCTTTCACAAAATTAAAATTAAAAATAAATCAAGGAGACTTCTTAGGAATGATCATTTTCAAATTTTTTTCTTGTTAATTAATTCTGAAACGCGGTATATTAACATTGAAATTGACTGGAAGCAATGAATTTTCACATTTAAGTCGATTCACCAATTTGTGCCATTGATTTGCAGCGAAAGAGGGGGAAAAGACCTGCAGATTGTGCTATTTTAAGATAAAATTAAAGCCGATCATATTAAAGAGTCCATGGTTTTTACTTGTTGCATCCTGAGAAATTTGCAAAATGGCCGCATGTTCCCTTCCATTTGGAGGGTGGTGGACCGAATCCGTCACCCTTGAAGCTCTCTGACGTCGGAGTGATCCCTGGCAGAACAATATGTTTGCAGATTGCTTTGAGAGAGACACCATTATGTTATAAAAATGGTGATTATACTGAATAAAATATGAAAGTTTTCTCTTTTTCAACCTGTATCGAGCAGACCCACAACAATGTTTCTCTCCATCTTCAAATTTCTTCTAGCTGTTAGAGGAAGTCCAATGAAGTCCCATGATCTTGTTGTGTGTAGCTTGTGATATCGATTCGGAAACACAGAAACCACTTCATCCATTTCTAAACATTTCACCAAAAGCAATTTAAGTAAATCTCAGTGTTAAAAAAAGGGAAGTTTTGTTAAATGAACAAAGGAAGAACTTCAAGTACCCTGTAACATATCAGCTTCATCTTTGGATAGCTTGGCAGCAAAGGCATTGAAGGTCTTCGTGTAGCTGTAGATCATGGACTCTTTGGCATCATGTTCACTGTTGAAAATGAATTACAATGATTAGGTCCCTAAAACAGGAAGATTGCCACATTTACAGCAAGTGGCAGCTTGAATTTCGAGGAAACTCTTGCTGACTAATCCTGGACAAAACATCTCACTTTTACTGATGTTAAGTCTCAGCTTGAATTGGTTGGCTTACAAACCAAAAGAACTCAAAGATGAACAAAGTTCTCTTTTCATTTGTGATTCAAATGGATGCACGTTTCAGTATATATCAAACTAATTTATGGGGAAACTTACCTTCCTTTGACATAGGTGAGAAGGCCTATGTGTTTCTGAACTGCAGAGTCTTTGCTCAATGGACTACCTCCCAAGTAAACAATATAAAAATTCTGCCAAATTAAACACATACAAATTACTGTCAGAAAACTAACTAATACAACAAATTAATAATCCGTTAAAGACAACATAACCCAAAGGAGAATGCACCTTTGTTTCGTCCCCAGATGCAACAACATTCAGAATTATCAAAATCAAAACAAGAAGAAGAAGAAGCTGACAGGTAAGAGCTGAGCAAAGAAACGTCATTCTCGCCATGCTAACAGGTTCTTAGAATTCCCCTGTTACCTTCATCGAGCTCCTTGCTTTATATTAATAACACATTTAGGGCCATCGACAGGTTTAGCTAGACTAACAACAATAATAAAATGGCTAATGGATGAGAACAACAAACGTATACTGCACTTCTTGAGCTCAGATTGCTGGGGGAGCCATATGATTTGGGAGCCTTCAAAGAAAGACAAACAAAATTTCTGGTACAATTTTAGACTAGTCAATGTCACATTTACCTTGCGATTGCTGCTTCTGTTTAAACAGGGCTGAATATTTCAACCTCTTCATGGTTTTATAATCTCACCAGCACCACTCCTCCACGATTTTGTAATGCTTTTTTATGACAAAAAGTATGAAATGCAGTGCAAGAATTTCTTATTTTCATGGTGTCATTGTAAGGGAAGCTTGATTATACTCTGAAATGATTCATTTCTCAATTTGGAATTAGCTTGATAATCTGCTTAAATTGTTATATTGGGCAATGGCGTAATTTCGGTTTATGGACCACTTCCAATTACTGTCAATGTTTAAATTGGAAAGTTGCTTGAAGAAAAAGGGCACATAAACATCAAGAACCCCTTTTGCCTTAATGTCCAATTCAAGCAATTAAAGCTTTCAGAATCAAATAAAAGGAATGGAATTGAGAGTACCTTTAAGCTTCCTTCATAGATTTGTTTAACTCAAAGTCATTTTGCTTATCTTACAATGTTTAACCTCTCCATTCAAACAAATATACCTACTTTATCTATATCTATAATCCTATAATCATTACAAGCTCAAAAATATAAATAGTGAATGACATTATATCCTTACAATTTATTAAATTAACTATTTTATTCTTAATTAATCAGTGTCTTGTTAAATTAAAATATTAGTTAAATTTAATTTATGTCCTTATTAGTATTGAAATCCTTATTAAACTAATTTTTTAATTGATAATTTTTTATTAAATTAATATTGACTATTATTTATCTATCCTCCTATTTCTTTATTAACCTTGAACTTTTAATTAAAGTAAATTGTTCTTAATAAAATTTTAATTTAGCTATATCAAAATTTAAGGTCTTTATTCCATTGAATTATTAAAGAGTTAAAACAATGAAAAATGTTTCTTTACTCTAAACTTTTATCTCTATTATTTGTCCCTCTTCTTATTTGCTTAATTGGTAATTTTCTCATTAAATTAAATATTATCTTTATTTTTATCTATCTATAGTCTAATTACCTTGAACTCTATATCAAAGTAAATTATTCTTAATAATATTTAACAATATAAAAAATAAAATCTTTACTCACATTCAATCTTTAGTGACCTTAAATAATGAAAATTACTTCGCGAACCAACTACTTATCCCTCCTTATATATAGGCCAAAAATTACTTGGTTTAATTTTGAAGGTAATTTTTATGAATAAACTGACCTACTGTTATCTAATCTCACTTTGATTATCCAATGCAATTTTTTCACATCAAAAGGGACAAAAATGTAAGTTAACAAAGAGTAGTACTCATAAATAATTATGAAATTTACATAATTGGTAAGTTTTAATTAAGTTATATTGTCCAACCATATATATAAATATATATATATATAGCCTAGTTTTTCTTCATTGATAAATTATCTTTTCACATGCACGAACAATTAGTTAAAGTTAAGGTGTGAATCATTTCTAATATACTTGAGTTTGAATGCAAATAGTGAACGGTAATTTATAAAATTAATTATTTTGTTATTAATAAATATTTTTAATTAAATTTAGTGTTTATTTATTTTTGTATTAACATCAATATCCAAATTAAAGTACACTTTCCTTGATTGATAATTTTCTTATTAAATTAAATATTGATTAGTTTTTATTTTTATATTCCCTTGTTAACCTTGAAGCCTTCATTAAAGTAGATTATTCTTATATATATATATATATATATATATATGTTCAAATTTTGTTAAAAATATTTTTCATAAATATTAATAAGATTTATCTTAATATTAAGTAACAATTTTAATTGCATTAAATCATTTTTATTAAAAAAATATTTTTTATTATAAATATTAAAAATATTTATCCAAATTGTAAATAGAGATGTTAATTGTATTGATTGACTCTCTGTAAAAAATATTTTTTAATTTTAATAATATTTATAATTTATAATTAATATTACAAAATTTCATACAATTGAAATATTAATTAATTTTTATATGCAATTGTCTTTCAATTATAATTGTTTTTTATTTTTATTAAAATTAACTTTACATTTTAAAAATATTTGTATTTTATATAATTATTTTTTAAAATAAATAAAAACAAAGTCTTCATTGGAAGTGATATGCGAAATTACCAACTTACCCACAATCAAATCCCAAACTGACAACCTTAAACCGTTCTCCATATCTCGTTCGCTTTGAAACTGACAGCCTTAAACCCTAACAGTCCACATGATCCTAACTCGCCTCTCCCGCCAAAAACAACTACCACTCTCAATCACGGCCACGCTCCTCACGCGCCACTTCTCCACCTCCCCCTCCTCCTCAAAGCTTCGCGACCATTACTCCTTCCAGCCACCACCATCCCTTTCTCCAAACCCCCAAAACACCACCCCGAATCCTAACCCGAACAAAAAGCAGAAACCCAAATACCGACCACCGTCGTCGCTCGATCAGATAAAACCGACACATTCCGATTTGCCCTTCGATTTCCGGTTCAGTTACACTGAGAGCAGCCCGACGGTGAGGCCCATTGGGCTCAGAGAGCCCAAGTACTCGCCGTTCGGACCAGGCCGATTGGACCGTGAATGGACCGGGGTTTGTGCTCCAGCTGTGGACCCGAGGGTGAAATCGGTGGAGGGTTCGGGGGATCCAAAATTGGAGGAGAAGAGGAGGCTGCTGAGAGAGAGGATTCAGGGGACGCCTCTTACTGAGGCTGAGAGAAAGATTTTGGTGGAAAAGTGTCAGAGAAATAGAACTAAAAGGCAAATAAATTTGGGTATTGAGTACAGTTTTTAAATCTTACTCCTTTTTTTCCCCTAATTTTTAGTGTAATTCTGGCATTGTAGCTTCAGGATGTTCTTTTTCTTTTGGTCTATGGAATTTATATTGCTTTGTGTTTTCAGTATGAGTCTTTGGTTTGTATTATCAATTAGGTATTATTGGGGTTTAAGTTTTTTGTTGGACTCTGTATGATGGTTATCTGATTGATTATGCTTGTGATGGTTGATTCCTTGAAGTATATGAAGCAAAAGCAAGGAATTGAGAATATGAGATAAAAATACGGCTTTGAAAGTCACAATGTTAAAAGTAGAAGACTGTGGATAATCAAAGAAGTTATTCTGAAGATTCTAGCTTATTTTTTGTAACCTTTTGCATGTAGGGATTAGGGAGGTAGATTTTCAAGGGTCTAAAAGCTTTTGTAGGAAGCTGTGAGGGAGGGTAGAATCTCTTCAAGGAGAAGAAATGTATTTTATACATGGCCAAGCTCCCTTTTAAGTGGTTTGGCGTTGCGATTGGATCAATCTCGTCTTTCATGGAATGTTCACTACTTTCCATTGCATTGCCTTCTAGAAGATATTCTTTATGGAAATTTTTGATCGTTATTATCACAGGTTGTCTTATAGCATGGTGTTCTGATGTCTTCAATTGTAGGGAGAGACGGTTTAACACATAACATGCTGAATGATATTCATAATCATTGGAAATATACTGAAGCAGTTAGGATTAAGTGTCTTGGTGTCCCCACTGTTGACATGAGGAACGTGTGCACCCAGCTTGAGGTACAGTGTTTACTGCTAATATAGACAGTGCCCTATGTTCAGCTCTAGCATTTTGAAGGGAAGGAATTTCCTTTTCATATGGTATCTTTATGTCCTCGATGTTATGGGCTTCCCATACTTGCATCCTGTATCTCATGTATGTGTTTTATATTGACTATTGACTGACATAATATCACGTACTTACTAGATTTTCCTATGTTGTGAATTTAAGTATTATATGTGCAAATAACTATGAGATATTTACCCTTGCCACGGATTTTGAATAACTATTGCAGGATAAAACATTTGGAAAGATCATCCAGAGGCATGGTGGTACACTTATATTGTACAGAGGCCGGAATTATAATCACAAGAAAAGACCTGTAATTCCTTTAATGTTGTGGAAACCTCATGAGCCTGTTTATCCCAGGTTGATTAAAACTACTATTGATGGTCTAAGTATTGAGGAAACAAAAGAAATGAGAAAGAGAGGACTAGCTGTTCCTGTTCTAACAAAACTTGGTACTTTTTGTTTCTTCCTACTGGCTTCTAGTTTCTGGAATGGTTTTAAGTGGTTACTTATTGCAAGTTAAATTTGCAGCCAAGAATGGTTATTATGGTAGTCTGGCACCCATGGTCAGAGATGCTTTTCTTGTCAGCGAGCTGGTGCGTATTGACTGCACGGGACTTGAAAGAAGTGATTACAAGAAAATAGGCTGCAAACTCAGGGTAAAAATTATATTTCTTTTAAAGATATATTTTAACTTTCTTTGCTGAAGGGATTGGCAGTATGATACAAGTTTATCTGATCAGCTTATTAGCATACTCATGCTTTCTTTCTTCCCCATTATAGTCAAGAACTACTGATGTTTCAATCTAGCATACATATCTGCATTTTCAATAGCTTTGTGAGCTTATTTCTTTTTAGAGGGATATAAACCTACTATTCCACACTGTTTGTTTAACAAACCTTCCACAAAGTGATTTGCAAGGGAAAAAGAAGGAAGTTGAGTTGCCCTTGGTCCTTGTATTCCCGTATTGTGCATGTTTAAAGTTTCTGTTATGGGAACTGAAAATTGGAGAACTTTGAAATGTTTTTTTTTCATCTTCTAAACGAATGGCCTTGCTGATCTTATGCACTTGTAATGCTTTTCAATATTAAATTTTTTAGCCAACTTCTAATTTTGGTACAGGACCTGGTTCCTTGTATCCTTGTGACATTTGACAAGGAGCAGGTTGTGGTGTGGAGAGGAAGGGACTACAAGCCTCCAGAAGATGGGCGTTTCTTCAGCGACCGAGAATTTTTTGATGAGCCAAGTGGTGATGTGGAGAGATGTGATAGCTCGGATGAGAGAAATGGTCAATAGGTCTGCATCTGTAATATCCCCCAAATGTATTTATTTGCACTTATCTAAGAAATGAAAAAGATGGAAATTATAGGATCAAAGATCTTGGAGAACTGCATGATCAGATGAATGTATTTGTCTGTTTATTAGTTATTACGTACTCTTCAGGATTCTCACAACTTCAGAGCAGATTGTAAATCTTTGCACATGCACTGTATTTGTCAGAGTTTAGATCTGGAATATAATATGTCATCAACCACGATTGCATCTTGGTTTTCAATTTTTAATAGTATTTTTTCTCAACCCTCACTCTCTCAGCTTGCATCCAATGATAGTGGTTTTTTATTTTCTCTAAATATATTTTTTTTAAAAAAAATTCCAACAGTTAGGAGATTATTGCTAAGTGCCAACTTGTTTTCTTTTCGTGCAAGATTGCAAGTCCTTGTAAGCTTAAGGTTGTGAAGTTCCATGTGGTTGAGATTTGCATGGGCAATAAGTGCAGGGTCTAGTAATCCTGTTTGAACATTATTGAAGTGGTGTTGGATCTATCTTATGTGTCTGTTTCTCTAGGCCAATAGGTTTTATGCAAAAACTAGGTAGTGGCAGGCACCAAACATTTCAAAATCAAGTTGTTGAAATGTCAAAAACAATCCCTCCTACCCCTACACCATTCATATTGGCATGCCGACTACAAAGGGATGGAATTCAATTTGTTTGCCCCTTTAGCATGTGGAAGTATTAGGGAGAAAGATGACGGGCTTGGTTATTCCAGCCATCAAATGCAATTTGCCAATTTTGAAAGTAGCGGTGGCCGATGATGGGTCTCTTTTTCCAAATTCTGGCTGACCCTGGACCTATATTGTTAAGGTCCCTTGTTTTCTTATTCAGGGGGGATCCAGGGCTGTAAACGACCTAAGCCCGTGCCCAAATGAGCCTACTGTATGAGTCCAATCCAACTCCATACACGACGAGTTATTTGGTGAACATACAGGTTCAGGTTCAGCTTGCGGAAAAGATCCCACGTTCGTTAATTGCTGTATTTGAACGATTTCTCTCTTTCTAGTAAAATTCTAGCTTTTAATACCATATTAATGTGAGAGTTTGGTAGAAGAATGCCTTCTTTTATCTCCTATTCTCCTGGCGTTGGGAATAACCCAAACGATTCACACCCCGATAGCGAGAGGGGCATGAATGCGTGCTGTCCCCTCAAACTCTTCCGTCACCAATCAATTCACCTTAACACTGTTTAATGCTTAGGTATTTCAGTGTTGGAAAACGGGACACGAAATGGCTCCCACACTTTCCGACAAAGCAGCTAACAGGAGCCACGAGCATGTTGGCTTAGGGTGGGAAGTCCCCTATTATCTGTGTCTTTGGCTCAGCGCCTGTCAGGTGTACTCTTTTTGCCTTAATATCATGGACAGATTGCGATAGGAACTGCTACCTGGAGGGCTCCCAGGAACCCCACCTCTTCCAGCAGAGTTTGAACACGTTTCTCCTCCCCCCAAATAGAATGGCGGTTGATCCTAGACCAGCAGACGAGGATTCAGTTTGTGCCACTTGTTGGCACAACACCAAACGGATTTTGCCAATTGTAGATGACAACCTTGCGAAAGCAATGGACGATCCCCTCCCTCCCTCTTTCGGGAATGGACTAATGGTCCTGATGGGCTATTGCAATTTTCACCCCACACGCATTTGGATATTCCATGCACCTAGACCAAGCTTAAAATTGATCAATCCTAAACATTTATTAGGGAAAATGGGTTTTTGTTAAAAATCACTTTTAAGATTCTTGTTTAAAATTAATTAAAATATGTATAATATTTCAAAAAAAATATTTATTTTATTTAAAAATATTTAAATATTTTTTATTTTTTTATTATTTTCAATCAAATGTTTATATTTTTATTTTGAACCAAATAGATCTTAATAATTAACGATTAATTAATTATAATTAATCAAAACATCACGTATAATTTTTTATTCATGTAACATTGATGCGAAAAATAAAAACGTCACGTAATTATATTATCATGTCACATAAATAAACCACGTAACCATCCATTGTGATATATTAACATACCACATTAATATAACGTAACCTAAAATAATAAGTGATGTTTTTACTAATGCTAATTAGTTGACAGTTAATTAACCGTTAATTAAAAAGATTTAATCTACTCAAAATAAAAATACAAAAAAGTAATAAAAAATAAAAATTTATTTTAAAACTTTTAAATAATTCATTATTTATTTTAGATATTATGCTGTTAAAAATAAAATACTATTTATAATAACATTTTTGAATTCAATACTATAATTAACAATTAATTTGTAATTTTTAATTCATAAAAATAATATATTACTTAATTTGATAATCTTAAGGGTATCTTTTGAATACTCCTTTAACAAAATAACAAAACTCAATTTTTTTAATTTAAAAAATACCTTTATCTATTCAACTAGAAACTATATGAACATTGTTATGATTTTCAAGCCACTAAATAAGATCTCTTTATTAAATAATAATCTTAATAGAAACTTGTTAGTAAAAATGCAAAAAAAAAAAGCCTAAATGAACCAAAATTTTCACAATTTATTGATATAATAATATCTTAATCATAGCTGTAACATTAATAAAAAGAATTTAAAAAACAAAAAGGTATTTATTATATTATCTTCTTTCTTTTTCTTACGTTAGTGGTAGCATTAATTTATTTCAAAATTGGAAAAATATAATCCAAACAAAGGCATAAGGACAAAGAAAAATACAAAACCATAGTTAAGAAAAAAGATTATAAGATAAGAGAAAAAAAATAAGGAGCCCACATGCAAAGCACGTGGCAAGATAAAATAAACGGACAACCTTTTTCCCCCTTTTCTCCTCATTTTGGTCGGAAAGATAACAAATTCAAGTCCGCCACATAAACCCCAAGTCCACTTTCCTTCACTCCCTCCAAACTTCACTTTCCAGCTCTCAAAAAGAGGGATCCCAAGAAAGAGTTCAGCTGATTCTTCATTCTTGATTCAGTAAAATGGCGGAGCATGATATGACCTCGCCCCTCCTTTCTCCTCGATCGTCCGATCAACCCCAAACTGTCCTCATCGTCCCCGACGACGAAGATTCCGAACCCGCCGACCGGCCGCCATCGAATCAGCAATCTTCCCTCCAAGCGGGCATTCCTCTTCAAAATTATAATCACAGCTACGGGAACGGGAACGGGAACGGCCACGTCAGCTCTCCGAATCCATACGAGTTTCTCGGGTCGGACGGGTTCTCGGTTCCGGCACCAACCACGATTGATCCGTTTCGAAACGGGACGCCTTTTGTTTCTGGGGTTTACGAACTGATAAAGATATTGCTGTGTTTGCCGATTGCTTTAGCGAGACTGGTCTTGTTTGGGGCGTGTTTGGCAATAGGTTATATCGCGACCAGGATAGCGTTAGAAGGGTGGAAGGATAAGCAAAATCCCATGCCGAAATGGAGGTCCAGAATCATGTGGGTCACCAGGGTTTGCGCTCGCTTTATTCTATTCTCTTTTGGGTGAGTTAAAAATCAAAATTATTTTCTCTTTGAGTTGAAAGTTTCTGCTGCTTAGTTCACTACGGTTGAATTTTTTTTTCTTTTTCTGTGAATCTTTTCCTGCAGCTATCAGTGGATTAGAAGAAAAGGAAGACCAGCTCCAAGGGAGGTTGCTCCAATAGTTGTATCTAATCATGTATCGTATATTGAACCTATTTTTTATTTCTATGAATTATTTCCGACAATTGTTGCGTCGGAGTCCCATGATTCCATACCCTTTGTCGGAACTATTATCAGAGCAATGCAGGTAATCTAGGATGCAAATTTGGTTAATCTGTTTTGTAGTTGCTGTTTGTTTTATGATCGTACTGAATTCGTTGTCTTTTACTTTGTAGGTGATATATGTTAATAGATTCTCACAAGCATCAAGAAAGAATGCTGTAAATGAAATAAAGGTAGAAAGTTTCTTTGACATTTGAATTATACTTGTTTCACAAAGTTGTTCTGAACTCTAGGAAATGAAAACTATGGTAATGTTCAATTGTTCATGAGTCTAAGTTAATTCTAATGAAGTAAATTATATAATTTTTATCAATTTATAAGCTATTTGATACAGAAATGTGCTTTCAAGGATCTGAATACAGAGAAGGGCTTCATGTGATACATTTCCTAGACTGCTACTTTTTCCTGAGGGAACTACAACTAACGGGAAGGTCCTCATTTCATTCCAACTTGGTGCATTCATCCCTGGTCACCCAATTCAACCCGTAATTGTTCATTATCCCCATGTACACTTTGATCAATCTTGGTAGGACTTGACTTCTTTGGTGAAAACTTTCCTTTTCTCATTTTTTTCATCTTTTTATTTTCTCTCTCTAAATATTTTTGTTGTCTTGTTTAGGGGGCTCATTTCTTTGGCTAAGCTCATGCTTAGAATGTTTACTCAGTTTCATAATTTTATGGAGGTATGTCATGGAGATTACTTGATTCAAATTTTTAGTGTTGTGTTCCAAAGTTAGCAAATGCGCATTCTGTTTAAATCTAATTTGCTATGTTTTTAATTGACAGGTAGAATATCTTCCTACCATTATGCCCCCTGATCATCAAAAGCAAAATGCTGTACTCTTTGCTGAGAGGGTGAGTTTCTGCTTGTAATCAATCTAGTTTTGTTACTTTATCTGATGTTTAATGTGTGTATTTTGAGTTTTTAAAGGTTAAACACCCGGTCTACATATTATGAAATTTGCTGGAATTTTTTTTATAGTAAATTCTAAGAAACTTTAGTTTTTATATTTTCTGGTGCTTGACTTTCATTTCCTATGGTTGCTAGTGAATCTTTAGGGATACGTTGAGGTATTCTGTAGTAATGTTGGGTTTTGTAGATTGTTGACTAGTTCATATGTTTGTCTGTAGACTGGTCAAGCTATGGCAAGTGCTCTCAATATTGTACAAACATCTCATTCCTATGGGGATTTAATGCTCCTCATGAAAGCTGCTCAGTTACAACAGGTATGTGCTTCTCCCTGTGATTGTTTATGAAGCTTTAAATTGATGAAAATTGAGTTAACTTTGTTAGAAACTGGGGTTCCATGACATGTGGTTCATCTTGAAATGCAATCATGAGGCATTACAACTTTTCTTCCTTTCTAGTAAAGTAATTGGAAATAAAGATTTTTAGTTATATCAAATATCAAGAAGATTTGGGATTGTGATTTCTATAAGTTGGTGGTATGATTTAGTAATTTATGTATACTAGAAGAGTCATTATTAAGCCTTTTTTTATGTTTCTTAAGAACAGAAATTTGCTAGTTTATTTACTAATGCTGTTCTTAGTTTAAATAGTAAACTGTCCTCACTAATTTTAGATTTGCTATATTTACTAAGAGTGACATAGCTGAAGCATATGTGACCATTGAAGCAATTGTGCCCAACAAGAATGAAGATGGGTAGGTTTATGTCCATGTTTTCATAAAATTCATCTGATATAGATTGGTGAGTATAGAATAAAAATCACAAGAAGGAGACAATACTCTATTTAGTTTAGCAGCTTACTATTTAAGTTAAATTCACAACTCCTTGTGAGTGGATGTATCAATATAGGATCAAGTGACTAATCAATTAATTCCTAGTACATATTCTGACAGTATTAGCTGCACCTCCTTTCTGGAATGGTTGCTGGTAATGACTGCCTGGCATCTGAATATTTACTTGTGTTAGTTTTATGCTTAGAATTGAATCAGTTGTCCTTTTATAGTTTGTGCTAATAGTTGTTTAACGTAAATTTTGCAGGAAAAGCCTTGGAGTTATATGGTTGAAATGGCCAGGATTGAATCGGTGAGTCACGCATTGGGACTCCTCATATTTGAAACATACCCGTATTCTTTTGTCTTCAATGAAATACATTTGCATTTTGAAATTGATTTAACCTTGTCTACATTGGTTTCTATGAAGGTTCTTGCTCCTATGTTTTTTTCCAACCACTTCCTCACTTAGTAAACCACTTTATCTCATTTTTCAGCTGTACCATATAAGCAGTTTGGAGGCTGTGGACTTTCTGGATAAGTTTCTTTCCATGAATCCAGACACCAGGTATTGCTAAAGCATTTCTGATGAGAAAAAATATTCTTTTTTCATTTTGTTGAGCCAAATCAGAGTAGCAGATGCTAGACTTTTATAACTATACCACCTCTAATTCCGGAACACTGAAGGATATTTATTTATTTCTTTTTCTAGTAATTTTTTAAGTTTTGAATCATCTCCTCTTGCAGTGGTTGTGTTAAACTTCATGATTTTTTGAGGGTTCTACAACTAAAGGCTTGTACACTTTCTGAAGAGGTCAGTTGCCCTTACCCTGTCTATTGATGTATGAATATGGCCTGTTGTTGATCAAATAAAGTCGAAATACTTTTGAGTATTTTCTTAATATTTGCTTATTGTCATGACATTTTTTCCTCTCCTCTATTGTGATTATTTTCTCGGAATATAGATATTTGGGTTCCTTGATGTGGAGAAGAATGGATCAATTACATTTAAGCAGGTACATGTTTTCATGTTGGCATTATGCTTTATTGTTTTGCTAAAAGTAGCGTATTCATGAAAAATTATTTGCTCTGGCCATCTCTAGAGAGTCTTTGTACTTTATACACACAACCAAATACATGCCCCATTGATTAGATTTTATTTACCCTCTTCTCCTGCACAAAAAATCTAAATTTCACCCCCTAACCTTCTCCCATTAATTTGTGAATCTGTGGGCTCACTGCGTTTCCTCTGCTAGTCATGATTTGTGAATCGATGGACTTTGTCACCTTGCCACTACCGCTATTATATTGTCTTCAGTTATCAATATTTAGTAGTCTGTTGATGTCCCAGTATTAAAGCAAATTAAGAGCAGATGTAGAGAAGATAACTCTCTAGAGGCATATTTTTCTTGGTGATAATTTTTGCATAGTCCTTTCTGTTCAATTTCGGATATCTCTTGCAGATGAATCTCACTACATCTTTCAGTGTTGTTATTGGTTGCTTTATAAAACAAAAAACTATATCATTAATGGTTTCCTTATAAAACAAAAAACTATTCCTTACCCTGTCAGTTTTTATCTTGTTCTATGTTTTGTGTATTCTCTGGAAGGTTTCCTAACCATCTGAATTGAGTGAGTTCTCTATGTTTGTCCCTGATTTCGATATTAAACCTTCACCTGAATTTTGGTCCAAAGACATCTTAAGCAAAATTTGTTTCCATAGATGGCTCACTATAAATTATTCCTTCTTCCTGGCAGTTCTTGTTTGGATCAGCTCATGTTCTGAAGCAGCCATTATTCAGGCAAGCCTGCGAACTAGCCTTTGCTGAATGTAACGTGGAGGGAGAGAACTACTGTATGGAGAAAGATGTATGTTGTTCTTTCTTTCCTTCATCTGTACTTGGTCATTTTTTTTTTCATCAGTTTAACTTTTGTGCACTTATGCTCAGAGCATTAACTTAACTCTATGTTTCTGATTGCTTCTGAATCAGTTGGCAGATATTTTAAGACACGCAATTCCAGAGTTGAATGAAGATGAGGTAATAAAAAGAAGCTATCTAGATTGTTAATGAACAATTTTTTTTTTAGCTGTCATTTCTAACTTGATCCAACCTGCATGTCACTGGCTACTTGTAGATCCATGGGCTGTTCAATTTATTTGATACAGACAAGGATGGGAGGATAAGCAGAGATGATTTCTTTTCCTGCCTGAGAAAGAATCCTTTGCTGATAGCGCTCTTCACACCCAGATTGCTGCATAGAGACACGTCCAAAGCTGGTGATAGAATACTGGAGGAGATTGTGTGATGTATGGGCCGTTGTCTTTCACAATAGATAGGTTTTGGATTTTTGTGTACTATCTTCTTCACTTGTTGGGTTTTCTTGGATATGGAAGGGAATGGATTCTTGCTTATTGTCATAAGTCTTTTAAAGAACATGGGCCTAATAGGTTTTTTTGATGTTGCCCATGTTGTTGCTCACATGAACGAATATTCAACAAATATAATTGATTTGCATTTACTTCTTCTATAAAGTTTTATTCATAAATTTTAAATTAAGACACAAATGTTAAGAATTATATCTCTTATTAAAATAAACGAAGTCTAGACATGGAATCGGAGAAAGTTGGATGTGTTTTTTCCAACCCAGGATTACGAGCAGAAAGGGCGAAGCCTTTCCCAAACGGAAGTTAAACCGAAAATAAAGAAAAATTCAAAAAGCAAAGGTGGCAAGATTCGCCCTTTTTTTAAAAAAATTTTATGCGTTTGACATATCTACGTCACAACTACGCCTCTTAGAGCTAGCGTTTCCCCTTTAGTTGCTGCCTAGCTGGCCTACACTTAGGTACTTGACGTCCCTCCCCACTGAATGGGTTTGTGAGGTTTTCCCAACATCGTCGTCTTGATCGGACTTGGATTTCCTCTTTTTGGCTTTATTTTTTCTAATTCATGGAAGATCGTTGATAATTATATATATTAAAAACAAGTTTATCATTCAGGTCATCAGTAATGTAATCTGTTTAAAGTTAAATTTAATAATAATTTGGTTATAATAACTAAGTCTTGCCCTTCGCTCTATCGGAAATAAATTTTGTAAATACGTTTTTATATATCCATTTGTTTAATGACTAAGTCGGTACATGATATTATATTTAACATAAAATTAAGATATTTTATTTATTTTCTTTGAATAGCTTAGTATAATACTAGCCATTTGAATAGACAGAAAACACAAAAAAAAAAAAAAAACAAAAATGGTTTTGATTTCGTCGTTCCCATTTTGAAAAGGAATTAGGGTAAAGATCAGATTAAAAACGATGATGAACAATTGAAAAAGCCAAAGTTGAAGTGTACATCAAGAACCGGAGAACGAGCCTCAACAGCGACCGTTGTTTTTCAGCATTAATGATTTTAACAGTGGATCGCTTCTCAAAATTAATGCTCGGAAAAGTTCATATGCGTACTTACATTACTCAAACTTTCTAACTATTGTCCGAAGTAATTGATATATCTACCTCAACATATGACAGCTAATCCACGCCCAAACATTTATCTTAAAAACATCAAAAAAAAAAAATGAATCAACATCAATGGTAATCAAAAGGAAAAAAATTTATGAGATAATATTTATTTATCATAATTTTAGAAAATTGAATAGAAGAAAATAAAAAGATAAAAAAATAATATTGTAGATGAATTAAAAGATAAACACTAGATTAATATTACGTGAACTCAATTATATTTTCTCCAATTTTGGTGCCAGATGGGAATGGTCATATACTATTCCAGTGGAAAAAGTAGAATTAAATAAGGTAGGAAAATTGTTTGGTTGCACTGTGCTTCTTTGTTTTATATTTCTAGCTGTTAATATAGTACAAACTCATCAATATTTCATAATGGATACTGATAGACTTATTTTAATCTTTTTCAAATACTAAGTAGTACTTATTTTATATATATTTTTTATTCTCGATGCCAGTGTGGGCAAAACTGGCATCATCCCATCTACCTAGTTTTTACTTAATTCACACTCCTGTCGAAAGCTCCCCACTTGGGTGCAACAGGATCCTTCTTTATTATTATTACTATATAAACTTGGATTTATTATAATGTTAATTATATTTAATTAATTATGAGTTAAAATTTATTTTAATTTAAAATAAAAATATATAAAAATTTAATTAATTGTAATAAAAATAAAAAAATTTATTTAAATTTTTACTAAACAATTTAAGAATTTTTTAAAGTGTTATAGCGTAAAAATTTGAGTGGTGAGAATTGTCTCTTAAAACGTGGGAAGAGAAAAAACAAATTCCCATCTTTAGTTTCCCTTTGTCCTCGTCCTCTTAAGCGCACAGTTCCCACGTGCTTGCAGCTAGGTAATAGGTTACGTCAGAGCTGTGATCCAAGGGTAGAGGGTGTGGACCATATTCCTGTACATATGTCACGTGGGTAAATAAGGGCAAAGATGAGCAGTGACAGCCCTTGGTAAAGGAATCACAAGGTTCAAATGTTGGCCCAAATTGGAGGACCACCCTACCCTAAGACATCTGGGTTCTGATCCTCAAGAACTTTCTGAGGAATTTAAGTCTCCAGGCCATAACTTTCCACCTTTCTCATTTTGTTTATCATAAAACTTTCCCAGTGCGTAACCTCACAAATCCCGAATGTAATATGGACCATTCGACTGAAACCTGATGGAATTAAGTATTGAAAGGAGCACGGCACGCTTCGTGGTCCCCCTCGTAGCAAAACTGAGGCGCGTTTGTCAAGTCTGAAGTGAGCAGAGAGAGAAGAAACAAACGGGCGCCCCCTGAAGTCTTGGACAAGCAAACCTAAGCCGAATACCCGCAAACGGCAAAAAAACCAACCAATCAAACTCACTGACAAGCGACAAGTGTCGGCAAATTAACCTATTTATTTCATAAAAGAAAATAAAGTAAATAACTGAATAATGGGTTGGTCATATGATTTTTTTAAAAAAAATCTAAAGGCATAATGTCAATTTCCTCCCACCAATCTGTACGTATAGGAAAACGGATGGCTTTGCATTTATGTATAATTAAAAACACTTGTACCTTCTGATAATTTTATAATAATTGACCATACACAATAATCTTTTTGGTACAATGTACAGTGTTACATATGTCTTTTACGACATTTCACTCTATTTTTAGATTGAAGCATTCATGAATGGTACAAAAAAGAATCCATTAAATGAAAATTTTAACTAATATAAAATCTACAGTAATAAGAATATAAGAATATAATTAATTCTTAATATATGATTTGATAATGAAAATAATACATATTTTTAATAAGATTTTGGATTTCTTGAGCTTCCATTTAATATTAGAATGTAATTTATTAATTTGATTAAATGGTGTAATAGATTATAATATTGTCAGTTCATTAACATTGTTACATCGAATAAGCTTAGATAAAAAGATATAAAATAAGATTAATAATGTAAATTCATATTTTATTATTTGAAAAGATGTAAGGCATATAGTACATTTATATTATATTATGTTTAAATCACAATTGTTTTTCTTGCAATTGTTGAGCATAGGAAAGGACATTTTTCAAGTGAAGTTAGGCAAACTTATGAACAGAGGAAATAGAATATAATGCATAGTAAAAAGAAAAATAAAAAGTTGTTACCCGAGAAATGAAAAAACAAAACAAGTCGAAAAGGCCAAAAAGGAAAAGAAGAGAACCGTCAGTTCGAAAACGTTGGCCTTTCTCTGACTGGCCACAGAAAAAGAAGAGGCCAAAAATCCCGTGGGGACTTCTCCATCTAAACGTGGATCGAGTAAACATTGAAGGGTTGAGTGGGGTTTCTCTCTCTCTGTCTTGTTTGGTATCTGTTTTAGTTTTTTGCGGGTAAAAAAAGAAAGTAATGATCAGGACATGCGTGAGCTTTCGAACCCTCATTGGTCTGCTGTGTACGGAAATGTACGGACGACGTTGACGTGTTCAAACATTGTACCATCCCCACTTCCCATTTTTAACTGGCTACTGTTTGCTGTTTTCCTTCGTTTCTTTTTTGAACTTCAACAGCAAAACAAAGGAGGAAAAAAACCCAAAAAAAACAGCAAGAGAGAAAGTAAGAAGGTCTTGACACATAGCACAGAAACCAGATCCTTTGTTGCAAATTCATTAGACTTGTCAACCCAAGCTTTGATTCCTTCTTTTTCTCGATCTGTGCAAAATGTTTTAGTATTTTAGTAATATAATTTTCTTTTCCTTTTTTCGTGTAAGTTTTGTCTTGGGGGATTGTATTATGAGTTTACCAAAACAAGCAAAGCAAAGCAAAAAAGAAAGAAGAGGTTTCGAGTAAAAAAAGAGAATTATTGTTGTAATATGCAATATAGTATAATATCTTTATTCTTTTTACACCTGTGAGACCACGCAGTGTGCACATTGTTGTAGTTACTTAATATAGGTGGGGTTTGAGGAAGCAAGGGAAAGCAAAAGGATAGATGAATAAGGAAAGGTTATCATGTGTGGGTTCGCTTTTTCTATCCTTTGGTGGTGACTAAAAAAGGGTTTGCCCAATAAATCAATCACAATAAGATATTCTATCTTGGGTCTTCTTGGCTAGCCTTCACAGCCATCAGATTTTCTTGGCTTTCTTCCTTTTTTGGTCTCCTCCTCCTCCTCCTCTAAGCTTTCTGGGTTTTGTTTTGGATTTTGCCTCTTTGGTAAGTAGAGGCTAAGCTTGATGATCTCCTTTTGGACGTTTACTTCTTTAAAGCTATTTAATTGAAGCTCAAGAGGGATCAGATCACCCAAAGAAAATACATGTTTCTAAGTTTATTGGATTTTCCAAATTTTGCTCACAGGCTTCTTGGCTCCTTTGCTTCTTCTTCGTCTTCTTCAAGATAAGAAAAGTTCCAAGTTCTTTCCTTGCCTATTTGGTAAGGTTTTTTCTTCTTTTCTTTTCCCTCATTTTCTTTTCGACCAAGGGGCTTTGTTTTTCACACTTTTTGGTGCCTTCAAAACAGTTTACACCAAAGAACATTTTGTTTTGCTGTGTCTTGTTTTCATTGAAGCCATCAAACCGCAAAAATATGCCTCAGTTCCCTCATCTAAGCTTACAAAATCTCTATTGTTTCTCATCTTTCTCGGCCTCTTTGTTCTCTCTCATCATTTAAAAGGCTTTCTGGGTTTCACTTGGTTGGGTCTCCTCTTTACCTTCAAGTTTTGCTCATTTTACACCCTTAATTAATTTGCTTTGTTCTTGCTTCCTAGGGAACTACGTTTTTTTTTTTCATCTTTTCTCTTTCCCTGAAAGTGAAACATTTTCTGTTTTTCTGTTTCGCGTTTTCTTAGTGGTTTTTTGATGCTGTGTATAGTGATAATGGCTTCATGAGTTTTGTCTGCTTGAAGGTGCGGAGATGGTGAGAGGGAAGACTCAAATGAGGCGCATAGAGAACGCCACGAGAAGGCAAGTAACCTTCTCTAAGCGGCGAAATGGATTGCTAAAGAAGGCTTTTGAGCTATCAGTTCTTTGTGATGCTGAGGTTGCTCTTATAATTTTCTCCCCAAGAGGCAAGCTCTATGAATTTGCAAGTACTAGGTATGCTGAGTTCCTCATTTTCAATACTAAATCACTGCTGTAGTATCCTGGCCAATCTGTGTGCTGCCCACTTTATCTGATGAACTTCACAATTTTCTTGAATGTGATCATCCGAGTCTTTCCTTTTTCTTTTTGCCCTTTTAATTAACTACTAATTCCGTACCATTTTCTTTGTTATAAATGGGATTTGCAACCTAGGGTTGTATCATCTGACGCTGCCCTCTCTCACACGTACACACAGTTAAACAAGTATAGTTTGTAAGTTAGATCTTAATCTCCCATTGATTTCTGTAGTTGTTTTCCTTTTCTTTCCTTTTCTATTGAACGTTAAACAGTTAAAGAAGCTGAAAAGCTGAATTATTCTTGAACTCGTTTAAAGTATCCTCCATTAGTGTTTCATACGATGGAGGTTGCCTTTCTGTGTGAGTGCCTGTCTACTTTGTTCTTCATGTGGGGTTTCCAACAATCATATTAAACTAAAATTTTTCCTTACTAATTCCGTATTCTTGATTAAGTGGTAAATGCTGTTTTGAAGGAGAGTTGGCTATTCCTAGTATAATGGAAAAAATGCTTTCTTTTTCATTTTTGTGGTTTTATTTAGTGGGGTGGTCTTGAAGAGGCAGGTGACCTTGGGTATATTGTATTTGTTACAACAAATAACAGCTTACTGACTAAAATGTAGGCTTATCACTAACATAGAGAAAAATGACCTAGCCGTTCTCCCCAAAAAGAGACCTTTCTTTATTGAAATGTCCTTCCTCCTTAACCATTTAAAACGTTTTCCAAAATGGTGCTTACCCAAGGTAAAGGGTACAGCTCCTGGTACAATTTCTGATACCCTAATTTATAAGTGGAGCGGGGGAGGTACTGTCTGTTTTCATCAGGTGCAGTGATTACCTTTGGGATACACAGATTATTGGGTGTGCCACTGTTTTCCCTTTCAAGGATGTTACCTAATTTTCCAAGGCAGGCACAATAAGATTTGTAGCTTGACATTATCTTACCCTTTCCTAAAGTAGAAAGGGTGCCATGAAGTGATGTGGGAATGCTTGTGCTATTTGTAGACATATTGGTTTCACCCATTGTATTGGAGTCACATCCTCATTCCCATCCAAACCCACTACCGGCCCTCTTGATGTACTTAAATTAAAAATGTTAATCATTGCAACTGACTATATGACTAAACTTTTTCCTCCCTTGTACTGTTTGATTCAACTTCAATTACCTCCATTTTTGATCTTATGATGTTAATCCTAGTGCATGAAGATGAAATATTGCCAAATGTGGATAAAGGAAAGGAAAGCTTCATGTAATACATGTAGGATGAGAAACTTGATTCACAACAAATAATCCTAATATCCCATCAAGCCCCCTAGTTCTTAAAGATCAACGGATAAATTTATACAGCTATGGTTATTGTTGAAAATGTTTATGGCATGTAGATAATTTCAATTTCTTTCTCTATTTCCTTTTATTGTTTAATAAAAGATATGAAGATTCTTTGGGTGACTAACCTCAGGTGCTATTCCATTTTACCAAAGTCAGGCATACCTATAAGACCTCTCAACCAAAATTATTTCTTTCTTTTTTCTGTTCTCTGATTTGAGGTTGATATGACAATTAAGCCAACTATTTACCTAGTTTAATAAACTTTCTTAAATCCAACTCAGAACCTTAAACTTGGGAAAATGCTATATATCTTTTTTTGGTGAAATTGGGAAAATTTCTATAAGTATTAGCAAGTTTTTTTTTTTAATTTGGGGTTATATTGTCATTAATTAATTTGACATCCTATGTAAAAATTTTATGATATCAATGTAAAACTCTGCAGTGCTGCTCGTGGGATTTTCAGTTTTACTTGTAAGCAGATTTTTATTAAAAGAGTTTAGAAAAGAGTCCCAAACAAAGGAGAGATTGGACAGAAGTCGTACAATGACACATCCCTAGAACACTGACAACATCAATTTGTGTTTTAGGTGTTAGTCTAATCCTCAGAACTTTGATGGTTCCTACCCTTATATAGGCAGCAGGCATCTGAGCCCTACTACTATGATTTTATTTATGTACTCTTTGCCCAATCATATGTACCTCTATGGATTCTTCAGTATTTCATTCCCATGCTGCTGCTTGTGAAGTCCAATAATTTCTCTCATTCTCATCAGTTTGTTGGCAATGGTTTTAATTTTAATTGACTTGCATTCAGTTGCATCTCTTTGTTCTTCAAGCAATTGGAAGATAGGCTACATACGTGATGTCTCTAATAGGTATCTCTAATCTATAGGAGAAACAATGTAGTCTTGATTGATGGTGTTATTATCCTTTTCTAGGAAAATCAAAATCCCATATTCAAATTTCCCCTTTTACTTGAGTTTACTCACCATACTAAATTACGAATTGAAAACTAAGATCATGCTCAAATTTGGAAGCCATGATAACATTTTCTCCTGTTTATGACATTTGGTATAACATTCTCCTGTTTTACTTATGTTTTCATTCCAATATGTTCTTGAAACTGTTCTCTTTTTAAATATTCATTTCCCTTTTTTCTTTTAAAAGACTCTAAAACTTTTCAAATAGTTAATAAAGTGTTAGTATTGCAGCCACAAGAACGATTCTTTATGGCATCTACTGGATTACATGGATGTTCTATCCTTATTCAATTTGGTTTATATTCAACTTGCATCTCTACATTTGATCTGGTCATTGGCCAACAATGAAAGATCCTTCATTTATTTGCTAGCATTCGTTTGTGTTAGCAAGTCTATTTCCTCTCATCCAAAAGCATTTGCGAAGTGAATATTTCCAATCATTTTATCAAAAAAACTAAATGAAAACAATACTAATCATGGATTTTCTTTTTTGAAAGAGCTGAATTTATTTTTTAAATGACTTAACAAATTTCGATTTTGCTATTTACACTAGTGTAACTTTGCAATGATAATAAATATGTTTAAACCCTCAAAATTCTCTTATTTTTATTATCAAAATATTCAATGTTATAAAATAAAGAGGTGGAAAAGAACATATGTTGCGTATTGGTTACCCCATTTCCTACACCTGAAAACTTACACTATCAATAAATTTAAGGTAGCCATAGTTGATTCTATTGAGGGCTTTCTTTCTTGGATGGTTAACACTAAAAGCATCAATAGCCCTTTCTGATCAAGTGGAGATCATGACCTTGAGCATTGAAAGCCACCTTTCTTATTTCACATGTTATTGCATTAACACTACTCCTTAAGCAGTAGCACCCCTTGCCATTGCTTTCCAGGCAGTTTCAAGTAATTGCATAAAACCTCACTTGATGAATTTGATCTATGTAGCACTTAGTTGATTGAGATTGTTATCATGTAACAGGAAGCCATTTGATTGTTCTAAGAACTTACCTTCAAGTAAATTAGCTGCATAAGATTTGCAGGTCTTCCTTGATCTTCCTAGGTGATGCTAACATTGTTAAATTTTTTTGCATCTCCTGGATGTTTGAATTGCAGTAAGGCTTGCTCATTTGGTAGCCAGTCTTGGGTCAGCAAATTAGCAGCAAGAAAATCCAAAAAAAAAAAAAACTAAAAAAAAAATGATGTAGGAGCGTCTAGGATTCTATTTAGTTTTTTTTTTTAATTTTAATTGATTTAAGATTTTTTTTATTCTATTTAGATTAGGTTTTTAGTATTTTTGGTCTAACCAACCAAAGTGAGATTTTAACTATTTTTCACTTTAATGAGATTTCTAACCTTGTCAAGATTGGTGATTCACCTTAGTGAGGTTTCTAATCTTATCACGATTGGTGCCTTTCACAATGTCCAAGTGTCTTCACAATGCCTCGACATCAAATATAGATTCCATCTTTAATTGATTTAACAGACTGCATACTTTTGCTTATATTGAATTATAACATAGAGAACTGATATTGCTACCACGAACAAAATCTCCTAGAAATGAACATAATGCAACCAACTTTTATCTTAAAAGGGCATAATAATACTAATATTGATTTGGCTGCCACTTATATTGCTTACCTTTTTGTTCATTTTTTTTATAAATAAAAAATAAAGATATTTGTAGGAAATTAAAATTATATTTTGATTGGGAAATGAGCACATAGTTAAAAGGTAAAACAATTCAAATATAATGCTTCAACATTTTGCTTTTATATCTTACCATTAGTTTTTCTTTTTCCTTTTTAGGAGCACAAACAACATCCTATAATAGAACCCAACAAAAAGAAAAAGCTTCATCCATGATTTCATATTATCATTGCATGATTTTCTTGCTTTTTAATGACTACACAAGTTGGCTTGACATCCATACCATGTATATGAGCTTTGTCTTTAAGGATTTTGTGTCGCTTTTTCTTTCTTTGTTTTTGGCAATAAAGTGCATAGGGCGGCCCCAAATTGTATTATCTTATCAATCTCTTCGCAGTTGACACATCCAGTCCTCTTTCACACACAGTATATATGCAATTATTGGCATAAATTCCGGGAACACTTAATAATGCCATCTTTCTTATCCTCGTCTACACATGTTTTAGTTTCAACAAATGATGGTTCTTTTAACTAATGCAGCAGAGGGGAATGGTACATATAAACTATTTTTGAAGTATGATCAGTTTGTAATTGAACTTTCGTATCGTTTTATGATATGTAATGTATTCTCTGTGTTTGTCTTTATTGTATGTACACACATGAAAACTTTTGGGTCAAAAATTTTTTAGCATTTCCAAAACTTGTGAATGATCCTATCTGGATTTCATTTCCAAGATTTCAAAAGTTGTAGTAGTTTTTACTGTGAAAGCTGAGAAGCATTGATTGTACTGCTATTGGTTTTCGTTCTTCAGCATGCAGGAGACAATAGAACGTTACAACAGGCATACGAAGGATACTCGAACCAAGCCAAGTGAACAAAACATGCAGGCAAGGCTTTTTCTAGCTTCGGTTAATCCTTTCTCTTTGTGTGTGTGCATTAGCTAGTATCCAATTGTTGTTTTCTTTTTATTGCAACAACATAGGCCATAGCACATGTCAGTTTCGGGTTTGGATTGGCTATGAGCCGTATTTATCGGTTATAAGACGGCGTAACATCATATTGATTGAGAGCTTGTGTTTCGTTTTTCTCATGCACATTGATTGAAATGGCAGCTTCTGAAGACTGAAGCAGCAAACATGGTGAAGAAGATTGAGCTTCTTGAAGTTTCAAGACGGTACTAGGCCTAGTTCAAGATTTTTTTTTTCCACCCGAATGTCGTTGATTAGTCATATTCCTAGAAATACTTTGAAATCCTAAACAAGGGTTTTGAAATTTGAGTCTGCAAATGCCTCAGGAAACTACTAGGAGAAGGCTTAGGGTCATGCTCGCTAGAAGAATTACTGCAGTTAGAACAACAGTTGGAAAGGAGCGTAAGCAGCATAAGAGCAAGAAAGGTTAACTATGGAAACAATTTATATCTCAGTTTTCTCGACATATTAAAAGATGAAAAATCTAACATGCTTAATCCTTGTCTACTTTTCAGGCACAAGTTTTCAAGGAACAGATGGAGCAATTAAAAGAAAAGGTAGGCCTTGAGCATTTTCAATAATATATCGAGACCTCAACACAGTCAGAGGTTTTCATGCTGATTATATTGATTCCAAGAGCTTCTAACAAAAAGATAAGCGTCAAAACTATACATAAAGAATTGCAATGTCGGAAAAGGAAAAGCTTATTTGATTGGGGCCATGGAAGAAATAAACCAATGAAACTGATTCTTCTTTGCCTTTCAAAGAGTGACTACCTGATTGCTGATAACTGTCCTACTCTTTTGGCCAAAACTCAGGAGAAAGTCCTAGCTGCTGAAAACGCAAGGCTTTGTGAGAAGGTAAGGAATTCGGATAGTTTACAAGGATCCCCTTTTGACATTGTGTCATCAATATCTTTGATACAAGAAACGCTTCAAGCTTGTCTTCTGCTTTCAGTGTGCTATGCGGCCATGGCAAGGATCAAAGGAGCAGAGAGAGAATGTTCCCTATGATGAAAGCAGTCCAAGCATAGACGTGGAAACCGAATTGTTCATCGGACTACCAGAAAGGAGAACAAAATGCTTCCTGCTACAGAACTGATTGATGGCAACTTATCCCATCCCTAGCAAATATGAATACAAGGCAAAAGTTCACATATTACGCATCTTAGTTTTGAATAAAATGCATACCAGCAATGCTATGGTTAGTGCAAAAATGTTCGTTGCAGAAACTACCATGAGCATGACCAAGGATTCGCTACATAAAACCTAATATCTTGGAGCATGGTACATGTCATGGAAATGCTTCAATATTCTATTAGCCTGTATTTTAGCGGATCAATCCTGCTGCCTCAGGATATATTGATTGTCATTCAGCAAATGTTTTTATTTTAAGGGAAAAGAAACTTCTGCCATTAAATCAATGCCAGTTTTTACAATAAAATTGTTGCTGTAATTTATATCTAGGAGGGACAGTGAACTCTGTTGGCTCACGTGCATCAAAATGAATAATACTTACCCAACGCAAAAATCATGTGGCAAAATGTCCAAAATTGATGAGGGAATCCTCTCATGACAGAATTCAGTGCTCTGCCCTGTCACCATTAATGGCAATGCCAAATGAATGAGCTTCCACCTCAGACTCTCTTACATCTTGTCAGGGAAAATCTCATTGCAGTTGACAATGAACAAATAAATACTTGAGATGGCTAGCGCTTCACAAAGAAACCAACTCAACGGCCACTAGCTACCCACAAAAGCATCATCAAACGCCATTTATTGTGAGCATAGAAAGATTAAAGACTGCCTTCTTTTTTCATTTCGGGTACGAAGGAAGGCCAGCGGCCCTGATTCCTGAACAATGAAACTTATGATGAGCAAATGGTAATGTCATGACTCCTTCATCTTAGCTTATATATAGAAAAAGGAAAAAAAAAAACACATTATAATTAAACCTGGAAGGCAAAAGAAAAGAAGAGGAGAGTGGAAGACACAGAGATAATGAACAGCACGGGGTTATTCCTTATGTTTTAAGAGAATGTAGTAAAGTACTATCTGTACAACTTACCATAGACGTCGGATTTGGAACCCAACATTCAATTACCAGGTCCAGGATTTAATGCCCATTAACTGGGCCAACACTCTCCTGACCAAGTTTCCCTGGAATTTATTGACTCGTTCAGTCGCCGTATTCAACTAAAACTTTTGTACAGATAGCAATAAAATTCGAGCTTTTGAGGCTCTCGAGCTTTTCACCTAGTTCACTCGGTGATTCCTCCATACACATCTATTTCAAGCTTTTCACATTTGATACTTAGTTGATGGTTGAAGCTTGGGAGAAAAACGAGGAGGCTCTAAAGAAAGTAAAACACAAATGCACAGATCTAAGGACCTCTAAAACCTTGAGAGATCGAGACAGGTAAACTATGGAAGCTCGAAATGAAAAATGGAGTAAAAATGGAAGATTGAGCTTCACTGTCATGCGATGAGGGAGTTTCATTTTTCTCTTTGTATTTTTTTTCCCGAGTCCCAGTATGCAAAAACTGCAATTGTTTGATGAGTGACGAGACCAACTTCTTCTGCATTTGAAGGGCAAAAGAAAGCTTGTGGGAGTGGAAGGACGGGACGGCGGTCCTGATATGCTGCAAGGGCAGGATCTTGCCACCCTAGGCACCTGCCTCGGCCCACGAGGGCTTATATCTTGAAAATTTTTCAGCTCCACTAGTTCTGGGCTACAATGACTTAACGTCCATGTCCTGAATCCACAAATTAATATTGGGCTAGGCCTGGTTCAGCCCACTTATTATACACAGATATAAATATGCTATAATATTTAGTTAAGTATTTTAAAATTTGTATTTTTATATTAAACTCTAACTTGAGATCCAGTTTCGAGTTTTTAATATTAATTAATAATTGTCAAACTTAATTAAGTCGAATTCAAGTAACTTAATTGTTTTCAAGCCAAACTCATTTACAAAAATTTAAAACTCGGTTGAGTTTGAGGCTCGACTTTTTTAGTCGACCGGAGTCCAAACCTTGATTTTTCAAATTAACATTATTAATAGACGGTATATACAAGAAAACATGAAGACAAGTATATTTTAATACCTAAAAAATATCATAGAGAAATCAAGATTTGATAGGGAAACCAAAAAGGATTTTAAGGAAAAGAAATATAAAAATTCTATATAATCATACGAAATTCAGAGAGATTTACAAGACCCAAAAATCATGTAGTAAATGTTTAGAATTATTGCACTGTAATTGAATTAAATATCGAACATACTGGTGCTACATATATAATTTTGACAGCTCAAATGGGTCTTGTGCCTGAAATACAATACTAACAAGGTATATATATATAGTGAACAGTATCCAGGTAGAGGAGGAATGCTCCCTTAAAATCCAAGCATTTTTATGTTGTACACTTGAGCAGGCATCTATATATATATGTTGGCAACATTACAGATCCCAATACAATAAACAAGAAACAAAATCATAATATATATATATATATATATATATATTATAGTTATGTCTTTGCTTTAGAGAGGGCTAGCTCAAATGACCCATCCATGGATGAAGTTGGTCTCACCAGCCATGCTTTTGGGGACTGAAGATCCTTCAGCCTGAACAAAGTGATGGTACCTGATACGACAGAATAACTCAGTCAGAAGCTTTTCCTCTTCCAGGTTTTTCAGTAATTATAACCAACTGTATAAAACAAAGAATAACATCCAAAAGCATTAGTGTTGGTAGCAACACAAGTTTAATCAATTGAAGAGGGGATGCCGCCTCGATTTTCTTTGAAATTTGGGTGAAATTATCTTGAACTTTACCAAATAGGTTGTATATCTTAGTTGATATTGTTCCAGAGGAAGACTAGCGATGCGCACTTATGGTACCATACCAAAATAAAATTGAAAGAAATCTAAGTATATTAATGGTACCCTATTTGTAAAACAGGTTCAGGATCACATTCCATAGGGTTGGCGTGAGAAGGATGCAGAGGAAAGCTGCTATTCTCAGCAGCTGCACTGGAACTCCACAAGCCTTGGATTGTTTTGAGGCTTTGACCTTCTGCCTCAAGCTGAAACGCAAAATATAGAGTAAATATTAGGTTACATGACTGATGGAACTGTAGGACTAATATTCTCATGGAGTATAGATGAAAGTTCAAGTGCAAAACAGATGTTTGCTGATCAAGGTTACCCTGAGTTTGAGCTGTTTGTTAAGGTCTCCAAGCTGACGCTCCTGCCAGAAGATGAAAAATAGCTGTTAGTCTTTGTAAAACTAGCATCAAGGAAGATGAAATATTTGAGTTTGCAAAACCAGAATTGTGCAATAACCAAAATAACAGGTGAGGATACCCTAGTTATCGAGAAAGAACAGTAATTTTACGGATGAGCTAAAGAATTTAAGCATGATCTAGGTTTGTAAGGAAAGGGATAAGTAAGATGAAAGATCATCTACATTCATATATCTTGGTAAAATTAATGATACCTGGTTGGTTAAGTAATTCGAAGAAACTTCACCGTAATCCAAAGAACATTGCCAACAACATGAAAAATAGATCTTCTACTCTAGGAGTAATTTTGGATTAAAAAATATATATATATTACTGGCATAAGTACCTTTTTGCGTAGGTCTTCCATTTGCTCTATCATAATCTGTGTCTGCCGTCAAGAATAAAAAGAAGCAGCATATGTATCATGCATTTATACCCTTTAAAAGGTTAAAAAAATACAATACGTTTGTTTTCTATTTCTTAGAAGAGGTAAATATAGAAGATAGGAAAACTGGGTTTTTTCCCAAACATAGAGTCAAATCCATTAGAGGGGAGACTATGTAAGGTCTTCACTTCATTGCTATGGAATCTTAAATTAAGAAATTAGCTGTAAAAGGCAGGCATCTTTAGACTCTTTCTTTTTCCATTTCTTTTATAATGGTGAAATGATAAAGTTTATCATGTATAGGTTCCATATTGTGAGGCTAGACTTCAAAAAAAGAAAGAGAGATAGAATTGTTGGAGCAACTTTTCATTGAAGACAAACAAGAAGTTTGTGCACATTTCAGTAAGTGTGATAGACTGCTAGAAAATTCACATGAAGCGATCAATAGGACTAGCTTCGTTTTAAGTTCAACCACCCCTGTGAAACAACAGATGAAACATAGTAGGGCTGCTTTCTTTAAGAATCACTCATTCAAAATTTTATTGCAAAACTGAAACTTCTTATTTGTTTGAAACAACAGATAAAACATAGTAGGGCTTCAATTTGCAGGTACCTTTCTTTGTCTAGCCAGTGCAAGAGCTCCTTCAAGCTGCTTCTCAAGGTTTTGAAGCTCTTTCACATTCAATGGTCCAAGATCTTCTCCAAGCAAATGCCTTAATGAAATTATATACAAATGACTGTAAGTATGGTGGTAAATACATTCCAACTCTGCCATTAAACGCATTCAAACCACCTAGAATGCGACTAATTAACAATTATGGTTTTGCTAATATAATGTTTCGAACTCGAAAATGACAATAACCTTTGAGTGCGTTGCAGTGATTCATATTTTGCCTTTAACTTGGTCACCTCTTGGTACCAACTCTGCATAGATAACCAAAGACAAAGAACTTGAAAATTTGATAGCAATTGTCCAGAAAATTTATAACCAGATAATTACATCTAATGGAATCACTACAAGATATAAATTGGCAATCCCAGCGTACCATGGGAAATTAAGATTCAACAGCAAAGCTATCATAGCGTCGTGTTCAAGATGAAGCACTTGGGAATATGTGGGATGCATGGGAGTAGATGTTAATACAGAAGTTAGATGGGTGAGCAATTTGACGTGCCAAGATTACTACTGATTGAACCTAAACTAACAAAAAATGCATAGTTACCCACGCTTTTTAGGATAAGCAGCTCAATATCACCGTTTACAAGGAGTGAACTAAAGATAGAAATAAAGGCTAAATTTCCTTGTGTGGGTTCATAAAAGGCTAATCATCAAGACGACTATGTTTATCCAACATGTAAAAGAAATTTTGGGGACCAAAAACCTGCGTTTCACGTTCAAGGCTGTTGTCTTGAGGAGTAAAGCAGCAACGTTGGTATCGCTCAAGGGTCTTGGTCATACTGCAAAAAGAAAGTACAAGTGAGTATCATCATATTACAGACAACAATTGGTGAAAGCAACTACTCTGAGGTCAATGAGCTTGCATTCTGAGCATAATCCATGATGAACTTGCATGAAGGGTTCAAGAAATGACAAAAGAAGAGCTAAATATATAAACTATATAGTCATGGAAATCCACTTATAGAACAGGAAACTTTGATCTTTCAATTTAGAACTGTATCATTCCTTTTCTTTTTATGAAACTTATATCTATATCTTTAATATATAAGGATTCTAATCAGCCTTAATCTCTTTAGTTAACCGTGACTCAATTTTTCTATCCTTTTCTAAAAAATCATTTCATTATTAAATACAAGAAAACACAAAAAACAAGACCATTACACTGCATAAAACAAATATGAGTTCAGAATATTGTAATATAAAATTCTATTATTTACAAAATCATGCAATTATGTTTGTCAATATAAAAATTGATTGTTTACAAAATCATGTAATTTTTTTTTTAAAGTCTACGAAATCATGTAATTCTAGTTGAATTTTTTATTTTATTTTATATGAAAATTGAAACTCAAGCTCAAATATTGGTTACCATGATTTACAAAAGCTCTAGAATGTGAATTAACAATTAATTAAACCACTCAAAACAAGAATCACTTGAACAACTTCTTCATAATATTTTACAAGATGCTTCCTCTACTTTTCCAGAAACTTGCATACTACCTAATAAGATTGGGATCATAATTATTTTTATTTTGTTAGAATACCCAATCAAAGATATTTCCAATACCAAAAATGAAAAATACTAATTTCCCCATTTTAAGAAAACCCATTAATCCCAAGTAGCTTGAATCACTAGAAAACCCTCCCACCTTTCTTCCTTTTCATGCTCTTATCCTTGCATAAAAATGCCTCATAGAAACAAAATCTCCAACTGATCAGATTCTTAATTTTTACCAAGTGCACCCTTTGTAGCCTTTCATGCTATCATATTTTATTTGATTTCCCCTACGAGCTAGGAAGCTGTTTTTCTACTTTGTCAGAACTAGAAATTAAGCAAGCTTTACGGCAAAGAGCATATATAGGAGAGGGCTATTGCAAAGTTTAGGGCCAATATGTAGATAATATATTAACTTCAGTTCAACATGTTGCTCGTAACAGTTCCATAAACAATGTTTCACTCATGCGCTTGGTCTTATTTAGTTCAAAACTCTTCACCAAAATCTTAAAAGAAATATGGCGAGAAGTCATGATAGATTGGTTTACATGGAAAATCATCACAAGTAAGTAAACGGAGTAACTATAAAACATAAAGCTGGACAAGAGATCAACTAGCAGCATTTTGTTCTAAAGTGAAACCTAGATTCAAGATGCAAATTTTACATTACACATTGTCAAAGGCCTCAAAGGAAAAACAATTCGTCTCTTTTGTCACCATTTCTCCCTTAGCCATGCTTTTTTAAGTTGTAATATTTTCATCTTCTACTATCTACAAGAAGAAGCAGCGTGGCCTAAAGTTAAGTACCGTTTGTGTTTCATTAATGTTAATTTATAAAAGCCAAATAGAAGAACTGTGGTAGTTTAAACACAAGTTCAGGAAAAGCATCCCAAAATGTTTCTAAGGAACAAGAGAGAGAGAGAGAGAGAGAGAGCATTCTAAGAGGATCATATATAACAAAACAAGAGTTCATACAGATAGGTATTAGATTGAGGCACAGACAGCCAAAAGGAGCGAAGAAAAGAAAAAGGATAGCTTTGCACCCACCCAGCTAAACTTGTGAGCCTCTGGAAAAGAGAAGAGAAAAGGCAAAGCAATCCAAGATAACCCCAAGTATCAAGCAAAAATGAACGCTTAGGGACATGGGTGTGATTGATTTTGGCAGTCCCTACAACCCCACAGCACTAATATCATTGCTGATGGAAAAAGACGGGAATAGAAGAAACATTCATAAAACCAGAAGATCAAAGGATTAAAAGACATGAAGACAAAGAATTAGTCCGATTCTCCACTCACTAGTCATTACTTCATGCTTTTCTCTGGAGAAGAACAGAAAAAAGAAGGGGAAAGAAAAGGAAAACCCTAAATCTTGCACAGAGGTCAGAAGGCAAACACCTAGTCTATTGATTGGATTAGGACCAAAGTCAATCACAATACATGGGGTTTTTGTTTCAGCTTTCAGGCAAAAGAAAAAGTCACCTTCTGTACTGGCATTCCAACGATGATCATTGAAAACTATAACAAGCCCAAGACCCAGTAAAGAGAGAGAAGGAACGATATGTAACGTGTCGATCTGACATTGGAAAGGAAGCTGGTGAAATCAGAGTTCCCTAAACATGAATCGAAAAGCTAAGGAAAATCATGACAAGCCCCCAGAGAACCATAAGAAAAAAAATAGTGATTTGAGAGAGAGAGATAGAGAGACATATGTCAGATGTTGTGAAAGAAAGCACTCTTTGCAGACACGTTAGAGTTAAAACTAGAGAGAGAGAGAGAGAGAGAACAAAAGACAGACTTTGATGGAGTTGCATCACAGAAGTAAAAAGCATATACCAGGATGAAAAGAAAGGTATGAATAATCAATAACCAAAGCTGTTGTAAATGATGCAGAAAACTTGACAAAAGGAAGAAAAGAAAAGAAAAATATATAACATGGCCAATACATAAGGCTAAAGAAGAGAGAAAGAAGAGAAATTTAGTCAACCAAAACACAGAAATCCACATGGAAAGAAAAAAAAAAGAAACAAATATATACACACAAAGAAGCATATAGTATTTGAATATATGGTAATATATATGTATACCCAGCACTGCCAAACTCGTAGAGCTTGCCACGACTAGAGAAGATGATAAGGGCGACCTCAGCATCACAAAGCACAGAAAGCTCATAAGCTTTCTTGAGCAAACCATTTCTTCTCTTAGAGAAGGTCACCTGTCTGTTGATCTTGTTTTCTATCCTCTTCAGCTCCACTCTTCCTCTCCCCATATCTCTCTTCTTTTTCAACTATCTTCCTTTTTGGAACAATGAGCTGTGGATATTGATAATAAATGGTATTATCTGTAGTCTGAGTTTCTAGGAGAGGTGGGGTTCTGGTGTTATGCAAAAATGGAGGTGAAGAAGATAAATGGGTAGTGAATAATTGCTTGTCTGAGACAAGTGGAGGTTTAAAAGGCTATATAAATAGAAATATACAGCAAGGAAGGCTCACTGGATCTTCTTTTGCAAGAAAATGGAAACCCCATTGTATTTCTTCCTTTCTCTTTGTTCTCTTTTCAGTTTTAATTTTTAACAATCGCTATCTCTATCTCTCTCCTCTTCTTTTATTTTGCTCTCTCTCTCCTGTACGCCCAGTTTGCCCTCAGTTATTTCCATGGTTGAGAGAGGTTTTGTCTCTACGCGCCTTAAACAACGCTGCCCTACACGCTCTTCCAAGGATTAATTTTATTAATTTATTACGCTTAACTTTATATCATTTTCTTTATTAAACGGTGATTGGTGCAATTTTTTTTTGTCTTTTAAAGTAAAAAAAAATGTATTTTAGACAAAATCATTTTGGTCGAAAACAATATACTTTTATCGATTAATTTCAATGAATATTTGAATTTTTTTTTGACAAAATCAATGCTATCAAAATTTTTTTGACAATAAATCAATTGAAATGATGCCAAAATTTTTCTTTTAAATTAATTAAGGAGTAAGATATTTTATTAAAAAAATAAGATAGAAAAAGAATTGAGATAAGTGTATTATTTTTATTTTGTTAAAAAAAAGAATTGAGATGTATTAATGACTATAGTCTAAGATTTTTTAAAAAAGAAAAACTTAAGTTCAAATACCTCTTTTATCATAAAATATCTTTAGCCTTTGTTCATAATGGTGTTACGAAAAATGTATTTATTTATTTTGATGTTACTAAAAAAAACTATGTTGATCTTCTTCATGTGTGATTAATTAAAATCTATTTTTTTAAAGTATAGTTTTCATTAATGTGTACAATCTCTATAATTATATCTTTATTCATAATATTATTAAAAATTATATAATGCAACCAAATTTATAAAATTATTATGTAAATATACAAATCTAAATCAAATTTGTGGTAACGAGTAAATTCTTTTTTCGGAGAAACTAAACATAAGTATTACATGAAGAATAAAAAACTTCTTGATTGGCTGAGAATAAAAAAAGTATGGAGACTCTAATCAATTGCAAATGCAAAGTACTATGATTTTTGCAGCAGCAATGAACAGTATTTTTGCTGGAAATGGAATCGTGGGGAAGCATATGGGCACATGATTTGGGTGAATTTGGGACTCCTTTTTGACCATCGGCCACTCCTCTATATTAAGAAACAAAGGGTACAATGTTTCGTTCACCGCCAAGGCCTGGAAAATTTGGTTCCCCCAATTGCAATTCCCTCAAACACTCAGGGTTGAAATGAGAACACTACTTCAGGTTAGACATGGGCATGTTGTAACTATTTATACAAACATGAAAGATCAGTACTACATTCAATTTTCATTTTTTTTTTCTTGGGTTGCAAAATATAAAAACATCATAACTCAAATTTAAAATTTCTAGTTAAATTTTTACTCGTTGCTCTGAATTAATTTTTTTTTTTGTATTGTAAAATTTGTCAAAATTTTTTATATTATAAATTTATTTTTATTTTCATATTGAAAAATAATTAAAATATGGTAGTATGGAACTAGGGGAATAGTACTATAGCAGTGATAATTTGCCGTAAAGGTCATGTCAGTGGTATTTGCGCTAGCTTGTGATTTGCAAGTTCCTCCAACTAATTTCGATGGCAATTAATATATTCTTGTACCCCGTTAGGTTACTGGATTTTCATCATTTGCAGTAACTGGACAACTATATTTCCAGGATAATTTAATAATGTTAAGCAAGCAACCATAAACTTCGGTGCATATATATATATATATATATTCTTTATAAGCGGCAATGGTAGATTATCCAAGAAAATCAAAATGGAAGCATTTCGAACTAGACAGTGAACTATAGGTTCTGTTTTGGAATTATTTATCATCTTGCTTTAGAGTTTCCCTGTCCTGAAGCCATGATTCTCACATTAGAGCTTGCTTCAAAGCCATTTCCTTTGCACTCCTCAATCATTACACCATATTGCTGAAAATATCTGAGAAAACGAATTTTTTTTTCTTTTTTTGAAAATCAAGAGAGAGTTTCCATTAATCAATGAGGAATTAAAGGGTTCCCCAAGCAAGAACAAAAGCAACGTCCAGAAGGCTGAAAAACGATGATACGCCCTTAAACGAAACCCAAGATATCTTCCAATAACATCATGAAGGCATCAAAAAGAGACCCATCAGAACATCAAAGCAAAAAAGAAGAAGTAGGATTGCACCTTTACGAATTACTGCTTGATAGTTTTTTTGTTTCGCATAATTATTGTCCCTAATTGCATACGTAGGATAAACCAAAATTAGAGAAGATAAGCCCCACGTTCCAGTAATTAATTAAGGACATGCTATAAAAAAAAAGAAGAAAGAAAATATGAAGAAGCAACAAAGATGAATAAATTGGAAAGAATCAAGGAACATGGTCGAAATAGGTAAGTCTCGTAAGAAAGTCTCATAAGTCTCATATATATATATATATGATATAATATAGTGCATTGGTGTGTATAATGTCCTAATAATTCTTGGAATGCATGTTGGGTTAGTTAAATAAATTAGCCTTCATGGGGGAAAAAAGATAAAGAAAAACTTTCCAATTTTTTTTCTCCCTAATTTAAGTAATAAGCCCATTATTATTATTATCATTATTTATTTATTGCAATTGATGAAAGTTGGGAAGTCAGCTAGCTAATTGAGGGACAAAACTTAAGGAGTTCGACACTTTCCTTGTAGGAAAAAAGCAAATACCATTTAAAAAGGTTTTGGATGAATTAACACTCAAAACTCTAAAAAGGGATCAAAATTGATCTGCTAAACAGAGATTATACATTGTCACCAACCAATACAAGTTCCTCCATGATCTCCTATAAATCAGATGAGCAGTTCCTATAAAATGGTAAAATCCCTAAACCTTTTTCCTTTAATGGGGTATTAGCCAAGTGGCTTAAAAATATTCAATTGGCATGTTTACTACTTTACCAATGGTATGGTTCCCCCCTGTCATCCTTCCTTTTTTTGCTTCTCCCCCTCGAGTTTGCTGTTGCACCCTCTCCTCTGAATGAGTTTCAAAATGGAAGTAGATACTTTAGGAAGTGGAGAAAATGACAGACTGAGAGAACCCAGATTCCTTTTGTGTTGTACTGTAGCTGTTAAATTCTATTCCCACCCTAGCAATTTGCCATTCATAAAGTTAGCCTGCTATTTGAGATTATTTCTCAGGGGGTAGTACCAGCAGCAGCAGCAGTACAAATTTGTGGCCCAACTTTGATTCTTTCTTCCATCATTTCACTTCTTTTTTCCTTTGTTTTTTTTTTTTTTTGCCTTAACAATCCACACCTATATTTTCTACCCTTATAAATAAGACAATTTATGAATTCCAAGTTGTAGCGGTTAAAACAGGGTTCAAAATAACATCCTTTTTACACAAAGCCTACAACAAGTATTTGGTGAAGTTGTCGGGTCCAATAATAGAGACACAACCTCTATTCATTTATCATCTTTCTTTGCCCTTATTTTCATTTTCAACCAGAGATACTAGGAAATTTGTCTGCTGTAAACAAGGAAAAAAAACCCTTTCCTAATAATTTGACTTACATAATTAACTCTTTTATGCTTTTGCATTTGCATTCAAAATCTGCAAATTCTAACAAAAATATCATCATTTGAACATGCCTTAAGCTCCTTCCAAAAGGTTTCCCTGGGATATACATTATTAAGCTCCTTTGTTCTCTCTCTCCCTCTCTCTTTTCCTTGGAGCTAGATTAGATTGTTGATGATCATTGTTTAGTGTAAAAATCCGGGTCCAAGTATTATTAGTCCTTCAATTTTCTTGAATTTTAATTATAAAAACTTTAAAAGTTTACGTTCAAATTATTAATATTAATCGATTTAGATCTTTATATAAGTATTAATATTCACATTTATATTTAACATGAGACAGGATATATTATAATTCAAAAAGAACTTTGAGATCTTAAATTTAAGATCTAAATTATATGAATAATGAGAAAAACTTTTGAGGCTAGCTTTGGTTCTTCATCTTTTCTCGAAATTTGATGAGATTGCATATATACTTATATGCAAAGATTTGGATTCCTTCTCCCACTATATGGATTCTCACGTACTAGGGTTAGGTGAGGCTTCCATGTTTTCAAACTTTCTTCCTAAAAGGCTGCCACAATGTCAAACCATGAAATCACAATGTTTCCTATGCAATATTAATACATATAACAATAAATTTTGTGGATGAAAACTGGTATAAGGTTTCATCACAGGATTTGACATATATATCATGCTCATACCATCACACATTGTTCATGCATCAAGCTCAGATTTTACCATTTCTTGCATGTTTATGTATTTAAATTCTAAGAAAAAATATTAAAATGTTGGAGAGTTCGATTCTTCAATTATTCATAAAACGTAAATATTTATAAAATTATTATTTATTATACATATATTATTTATAAGTACTCATAGTAAGTCAAGACAAAATAATATTGTAATTTTCATTTAAAATACATTAGCTAATCCATAAACATAAATTTTCACATTTCTTTTAAATATTGATGTGATTGAGATCAAATTCGATTTCTAGGACAAAATAATATTATAGTTTTCAATTAAAATATATTAACTAATCGAAACAAAGGAAATAAATAAATGTAAAAAGTAGTACTCTTAATTTATTTTTCATGCTCTTAATAATATGTATCAAAAGGCTATTATTTTACTGTTACATTAAAAAATATAAAGTATAAAGCAATGCCTTTATTCGGTTGTAATTTTTCCTTTTAACTCATGGAAATTTGGAAGTATAGTTCCATGCCCCTTTTGACTTGTACTTTTTATTTTATTTTATTAATAAAATTATAATAAGGTAGTTGGACCTTACCAGAATTTTTCAACTTTATCAGAAAAATTGAAACAAAGGAAATGGAAAAAACAAAAAATAATGAGAGTGAAAATATCAGGTATGGTACAGACACGATGGTGATGTTAGAGAGGAAGCCTGTCCGGAGTCTGAGCGTCATTGGTGGGTGGAGTTAAGTGTGAAGACACGTGTCGCAAATTGGGATTCTTCGATTTGTCAGATGTCAAAGAATCAGCGCGATTGCGTCTGATTAATTTTCTCA